CAGGTTATTGGGGAGGCTGAGCCACTGGGCCCTATAGGACACCTAGCACAGAAAGCCACTCTATCAACACAGGGAAGCATAATAAATGCGGAGACAAAGAAACAGGACACAAATGACAGAAATGGAGGAAAGCAAACTACTGGATATAGAGTTCAAAACCACACTTTTAAGGTTTTTCAAGAACCTTCTAGAAACCGCCGATAAATTTAGTAAGACACTCAAAAAGTCTGGTGAGACCGCTGATAAATGTAGTGAGACCCTCAAGAAATCTAGTGAGACCCTCAAGGTTATGAAAAAGGACCAACTAGAAATTAAGCATACACTGACTGAAATAAAGGCTATTATGCAGAGTTCCAACAGCAGACTAGAGGATCACAAGAATCAAGTCAACGATTTGAAATACGAAGAAGCAAAAAACACCCAACCAGAAAAGCAAAATGAAAAAAGAATCCGAAAATACGAAGATAGTGTAAGGAGCCTCTTGGACAGCTTCAAGTGTACCAACATCCGAATTATAGGGGTGCCAGAAGAAGAGAGAGAGCAAGATACTGAAAACATATTTGAAGAAATAATGACAGAAAACTTCCCCTACCTGGTGAAAGAAATAGACTTACAGGTCCAGGAAGCGCAGAGAACCCCAAACAAAAGGAATCCAAAGAGGACCACACCAAGACACATCATAATTAAAATGCCAAGAGCAGAAGACAAAGAATCTTAAAAGCAGCAAGAGAAAGACAGTCATTTACCTACAAGGGAGTACCCATACAACTGTCAGCTGATTTCTCAACAGAAACTTTACAGGCCAGAAGGGAATGGCAAGAAGTATTCAAAGTGATGAATAGCAAGAACCTACAACCAAGATTACTCTACTCAGCAGAGCTATATCATTCAGAATTGAAGGTCAGATAAAGAGCTTCACAGATAAGGAAAAGCTAAAGGAGTTCACCACCACCAAACCAGTATTATATGAAATGCTGAAAGGTATCCTTTAAGAAGAGGAAGAAGAAGAAAAAGGTAAAGATTCAAATTACGAACAACAAATATACATCTATCAACAAGTGACTCTAAAAATCAAGTGAATAAATAATCTGATGAACAGAATGAACTGGTGATTATAATAGAATCAGGGGCATAGAAAGGGAGTGGACTGACTATTCTTGAGGGGGAAGGGGTGTAGGGGATGTGGGAAGAGACTGGACAAAAATCGTGCACCTATGGATGAGGACAGTGGGTGGGGAGTGAGGGCGGGGGTGGGGTGGGAACCGGGTGGAGGGGAGCTATGGGGGGGAAAAAAAACTGTAATAATCTGAACAATAAAGATTTAATTAAAAAAAAGAATTTTATACTCGAAACCTATATTATTTTATTAACCACCTAGAGGCCTGGTGCACGAAATTCATGCACTGGAGGGGGGGTGTCCCTCAGTCCAGCCTCGCCCTCTCCAATCTGGGGCCCCTTGGGCGATGTCCGGCAGTTGGACATCCCTCTCACAATCCAGGACTGCTGGCTCCCAACCGCTTGCCTACCTGCCTGCCTGATTGCCCCTAACTGCTTCTGTCTGCCAGCCTGATCGCCCCTAACCACTCCCCTGCCATTCTGATCGCCCCCAACTGCTCCCCTGCTGGCCCGGTCGCCCCTAACTGCCCTTCCCTGCCGGCCCCGTCGCCCCTAACTGCCCTCCCCTGCCAGCCCCGTTGCCCCCCACTGCCCTCCCCTACCGGCCATCTTTTGACCACATGGGGGCAGCCGTCGTTGTGTGAGGGTGTGACAGTCAATTTGCATATTACCTCTTTATTATATAGGATGTAACCCAAATAATTTCAATAAAACATTTAAAAAATGAAATGGGACTAGTCATAATTACTGCAAGTATAAAATACACACTGGGTTTCAAGGGCTTAGTATAAAAAATGTAAAATATCTCATTAATATTTTATTTATTTATTTATTTATTTTTTGTTACTATATATTTTATTGATTTTTTACAGAGAAGAAGGGAGAGGGATAGAGAGTTAGAAATATTGATGAGAGAGGTCGATCAGCTGCCTCCTGCACGCCCCCCACTGGGGATGTGCCCGCAACCAAGGTACATGCCCCTGACCGGAATCAAACCTGGGACCCTTGAGTCCGCAGGCCGATGCTCTATCCACTGAGCCAAACTGGTTCGGCTCATTAATATTTTAGATATTAATCACATTGAATTACATTTTTGATATGATAGGTTAAAGAATATTATTAAAATTAATTTTACTTGTGCTTTTACTTTAAAAAATTAAAATTATATATGTGGCTTGCATTCTATTTCTATTGGGCAGATCTGAACTGGAGGTAAGCAGGAGGCTGGTGTGTGCTCAGCTTAGGAGTCTGTGCTCCCTTTTAAGGACAGTGGCCCCAGGATGCAGTGGAGGGACATGATGTGCTTTTCTCTGAAAACCACTGGCTAAGGGGTGGAGAATGAACCAGAAGGAGAACAAATCAGAAGTCAGGAGCTGTTGCAGAACTGTAGGCGGGAGAATGGAAAGATGAGGCCAAATTTGAGGACTTGCATGAACTAGGTCTGACAACTAGTTGGATGTGGTCTGTGAGGGAGAGGGAGGAATTTGGGTAGACTTGTGGGTGTTCAGCCTAGACAAATGAGTGGATCAGGGTGCAAGCCTATACTCAATGAAGGGATAAAGTGAAGTGTCCCCAACTAGAGTGTAACCTGGGTGAAGGACTCAGAGCAGGGGTTCAGTAAATATTTGTTGAAGAATTTAAAAAAAAAATCAGACTAAAATGTGTGGTTCAGGAAATGTGTCAGGGATTGTGTCTAGAAGGGGAGAGGTAAATGATTAGCTAACTGCTACATTAGAGGGAGATAGAAATTGAAAATCAAGAGGACAAGCCCCCCCGAGGGGCTACCAGGTTTCTATGAACAGTTGCAAGGGATCCCATTGCTCATTCTCAGCAAGATGCATCCCTGGGGTCTTGGCTGGCATGGAACATTTTCTTCAGTTTCCTTAGCCCCGTTGCTAATTTTCATGAGAAGGAAAAGGTGGGGTAATGATGCTGAAGAAAGAGGAGGGAGAATGGTGTGTTGTGAGAGGTGGATGTGGGAATGTGTTTATAATAAGGCATATACTGAGAACACCTGCTTGCCGGTACTGTACCCATAAATGGACCCACCAGCATTACCCCAATGTAGACAAACATTCACATCCATTTACTTGAATAATTTGAAACCGAACCACTAGGGAATATAGATTTGACCTCATTTTCTTATGCTTGGGAAAAGAAATGCAATTTAGTAAAAAAACTAAACAACCCAAAACCTTGAATGGAGATGAGGAGACTGGGATTGCCACTATCTTTGTGAGTACAGGCAAGTCACAGAATGTCCCTGTATCTTTTTTCTCATCTATCAAAATAGCAGTAATAACACTAGTCTTGTTTATTTCACAGGTAGTAGTATCGAATGAGGAACTGGCTGTGAAAGGCTTTAGAAAGTTAGAAGTGTGTACTGAGGTTAGAAGATATATATACAGTGAACCCATAGAAAAGTGTTTTGTCTTGAATAAATCTGAATTGCAGAGAAATCAGTAGGCGTGGGCATCATGAGACAAAAATGGGTCTCTCCTGCTCCTCTGTGGACAGAACCAGCCATCCCAAAGGGTAGCCTGGTCCCTCATCATTCTTTGCCTCCAAGAACTCATTGAATGAAGATCGGTTATGATAAGTAGGGAGATGGCTGGGCCATTGGGGATCAGTGCGGTAGACTCCAGTATCCCAGTAATCTTACAGGTATGTCGTGAAAGAGTCAGGGGATTTGTTCAGAAAATCCACAGTGCTCCCCTTCATATTCAGATTGGTTATTTCTATTCTGTTACATTCATTTGTGAGACAAGCATGATAACCACTACACTATGGAAACATGACTCATTAATTCATTTGTTCATTAATTCATTCAGCCTGTATCCAAGCTTCCAACCCCCTCCCCCCCCATCCTTCAGAGCTTACCCAAATTCTACCTATTTCAGGAAGCTTCTTTGTCCATCTTAGCACAGCACATTGATCAATCCCTCTAATTTATTGAAACACATTTTGCTTTGTCATGTGCTTGTGCTATCATGTATCTTGATTCCTTTCTGGACATAGATTCCATGTCCTAAACATCTTTGTATCCCTACAGTGCTAGCACAGCACCATGTAAACAAGCAGGTGCTCAGGAAATAAGAACTGAATGAATGAACATGTTGGGTAGATGGATGAGGGGGTAGCCCTGGATTTGGCAGTATTTTCCATATTGTCTGAGCTGGACAGAGAAGGGAGTGTAGTAAGTCCAGTTCTAGTTCTGGCCATGGAGGTAGGTGGGGTGGAAGAGGCAACTGGAAGGCAACTGGGGCAGCCATTGGTGACCCTGCTGCCTGAAGATGGCACTAGAGGCCAGTTGGGAGTAGCTACTCATCACCTGCAGTGAGCACCTACTGTGTACAAGACACAGTTCAGGGGAACAGAGATAGCTGTATTATAACTTCATTGAATGGCCAAAAATATATGTGAACGGTTAAACAGTGATTTTAAAAAAAAGTTAAAATGACAGTAAATGCAAAATGGCAAGCTAGTGGTCCAGATAGTACATACTGTGGGCTTATGAGCCTTCAGCTTGATTTTCTAGGGCTGTTTCCCACGGGCTGCCCTGCAGCTTCACCAGGACACTCGCACTTATTTGTCTACAGAGCCAGATTTTGGTGTCACAGAGTGTGCTCACTGTTGTTATAAAGCTTTTGAGGAGAGGTGTAGCAGAGCGAGCTGAAGTGGGGGTGAGGTGGATGGGGCCTTTTGGGAAAGTTGCATATCTGAAAATTTGGCATGCAGAGGGACGGAGAAGGCATGAACAGGGGAATAGGAGTTGGAATAGATTAGGTATACTTAGAAGACAGTTCATTCATTAATTTATCAAATATTTATTAAACCCTTGCAGAGTTTTTGTGCTGGACACACATGGTTAATGAAATAGGCAGTCTGTCTTCAAGATGCTACTGGGCACTCGATTTATTTGCATGTTTGCTAACATACATAAAACACAAATAACACATACATATAACACAAAGTGGGGAAAGTGCTATGAAGGAAAAGAATAGAAGTCTGTAAAAGAGAATTAGATGGGCGCCCCATAATGAAGGTTTCAAGTGGGTAAGAAGGATGGTACATTTGAGGGACCAGAAGACGGGTGGTGAGTGGACACATCTGGCTGGGAATGGCGTATGCAGGCTGAAGCCAGGCTGTGGAAGGCCAGGTTGTCTCTGCTGAGTTTCTGTGTTCCAACCTGAGGGCTTCCTGGAGAGAGAGGGAAATAGGGAGAAAGAGTGACGGTCTCCAAACACCTTGTGACTCCTGTCCCTGTTTGCAGCCAGGTGATGGGGCAGTGGCGATGGATGAGCTACAGGAGAACAAGAAGCTGAAGGTGGGTGCCATGTAGAGTCTGCGCAGTGAGGACACTGCAGGGTCTCAAAGGACAGCCACAGACTCAGGGCACTGTGTCCCTGATGCCGAGGATCTTGGGCTGGGCTCAGGCCTGGGAAGCCCCTGGGAGTGCTGCCAGGCGGAGCCTGGGAAGGAACGAGGGACTCTTGGTCCCATGTGGCCTGGGAGGAGGTGCTGGTTTGGGAGCTGGAATGTCACTGCTTTGCCACTAGCTCGCTGTGTGAGCTTGGGCCTCAGATTCTGTATCTGTAAATGACTGGACTAGATGAACTCAAGTCTAACTTTACAGCCCCCAGCATGCCATGATTGGTCAAAAGCCTAATTACCTGTGGTTTTGGAATGCCCAGAACTAAGAGAACCATCAGAGGGCACTGGGGCAGAAGAGTCTGAGGTTTGTGAAAAAATGTCTTAGCTGCCTTTGGCCTATGGGATATTTGGGAAGAAGTATGGGGACCTTAGAGAGAGGCTGGGCCTACTAGATAAAAGGAAACCTCCCCATCCAAAGAAAATCCCTAGACCAGTTGTAAAGTACTGTGTTACCACAGCCACTAGATGGCAGAAGAGTTCAGAGCCAGAGGGATGGGGAAGGTGAAAGTGGGGGGTAGGTTATGGAGGTGTGGGGCGTGGGGTGGGGGGCGGGGGAGTCAGAGGGACTGAGCAAGTGTTTGTCTGTCTTTGGATGCTCCCTTGTAAATCTGTGTGTGTCACGTCTGTGTCTGCAGCTACAGATGTGAGGATGTGTGTGCCTGTGAAGGTTCCTGAGCACATGGGTAGGAAAAAATCTGAATTGGGAATTAGAAGGCCTGGGTGCTAGTCTTGACTCTTTAATTTACACCTCACATGAACATGTTGAGTCTTCATTTCCTTTTCTGCAGAAGGGATCCCAGTTTCCTTGTCTGTGGGAGTGGGGCAGCGATAAAGCACCATGATGCGGTTCGTGGACTGCGAAGGGCTGCGCCCATGTGCAGGGTCTGCTGTGTGGTGTGAGCGTGTGCTTCTATGGGGTGGACTTGGGGAGATGGAAAAACCCTTGGCCATGTGGTGTCCTCAGTACCCATTGTCTGCTGCTCCCTTTTGAGACCTTGGGGAATTACTCAGTATGTAGAATCAGTCAGTCATGGAAGAGTTGAGGGGAGGCTGAGAAGAAAGCAGTGTAACTCCTGGTTAATGTGAAGGACAAGGTGAGACCAGGGAAACACTCCTGTGCTTTCCCTCTGATCTCTCTGGAAGGGAGGCAGTGTTGAGCGAGGCCCTTGGGGGCTTCCCACCTGGCTTGGGCAGGGCCCACTGAGGCCTGTGCTGCTCTCTCCTGCTCAGCTCCCGTCCGTGCTGACCCGAGGGAGCAGCTCAGCCTCTCTGCACAACAGCACCATCCGCAGCACCATGTACCGGCTCATGCTCCACAGCCTGGACCCTCTGGGGGAAGGTAAGCAAGGCCTCCCCAGACCTGCGTGGTCTCCCTGTCCACTCCTTCCCTCCTGCAGCTGGACAACAACTGGGACCTGCAAAACGGAGGCAGTGGGTGGGTTGAGGGCAGGAGTGGGAAGAGAGAGTTAGCAGGGGAGAGTGGGTGGCAGTCAGCCTGGGAGACAGGGCAGAGACGAAGACACGGAACTCACTGGGAGAGGAGAGGGCCCCAAGGAACCAAGCCCTTTAGGCATCCACATTCCTGTTTCCCTGCCTCCCTGTCCTCTCTTGTGACATGAGGAGGTTCAGCTGCAGATAATGAGGCCATGATGCTGTGTGCCCCTCAGTACCTTCTCTGTGCAGCCCGCCACAGTCTCCTCCAGGCAGCTTGGCTCAGGCTGACTGGCCAGGGTCGCTTCCGGGGGAAGCTCCTGGAGGTGCTAGAAACTGGTGTCCTGGGAAGACTGCCAACCCTCCCCCTCAGCCAGGAATCCCAACGGACATCCTGGGAGCTGCCAGGACCACTTCTGGGGGTGGTGAGGGTCCAAAGTGCAGTGGGAGCTGATGTCCAACTTCACAGATGATTTGGCAGCTGAGATTCTCACCATCCTTCTTACCAGTTCCTGCCTTCTGGCCTCCCTCTCCTAAGAGCTGCCCCTAACACGATTCTCAGGCCCCCACAGGCACCCCTCCAGGCAGGAGGCCCATCAAGGGAAGGTTGGCTTTTGGGCAGAAGCCATGGGGTCGTGGTTGCAGTTGGGCAGAGGGCTGAGGACTGAACTGTATATGACACTAGAGACTGACCCTTGAGCCCCAGGGAGCACCCTGACTGAGATTCCTGGTTCAGGGACACATTTTTAAGGCTCAGAATTCCCTCAGGCCCTTAAGTATCTTCTTCAGACACAATATTGGGACTTTGGGTATTTGAAACAACTACGTTGTACTGTGAAAGCAGACTCAAAGACAAGGTGATCAACCCTTCCTTAGCAAATCCTCGAGGTGAGCCCTGGCGGACACAGTACGACCTCCTGCAGCGCCCGCTCCAGAAGCAGTCCCGCTGGGGTTCTGAGAGCGAGGCTGCAGCCCCTGGCCGCCGGCGTGCTATCCGTGCGGCTGTGTCATGAAGGAAGCTGTGTCTCTGGGCCATGCTGGGCCCCTCCTCTGGGAGTTACTGACTCTGGCAAAGTCTTAAAGATGAAGACTTCTCCTCAATGGGACCAAGGGCCCCCTGCCTGGGCCGCTTCCACCGCTCACAGCCGCCAGCTGGCCTGCTTGTCCTGACAGGATTATGTGATGTCCAAGCCAGGCCGAGGTCAGAGGAGACTGATACTAAGGAGATGATCCTCCGTGCTGAGCTGAGAGGCATGTGAGGAAACCAGCTCTGGGGGAGCCAGCAACCATCAACCCAGGCAAGACAGTCCTGCGTGGTCCACGGCGTGCCTGTGTGGCATCGAGTGGCCCTCGCTGTGAATGATTGCTGGCATGCTCTGTGGTACAGTCCTGCCCAGGGAAGCCAACCCTGATTCTACACCGTGAGATTCCATCCAGGAGGGGCTGTGACAGCACAGGAATGTGATGAAGGCCTTTGTTCCCAAGACTTTCCAGATACATGTTTGTGTTTCCATGTGCTGTTTCCAATGGCTGTCCAGATGTTTCCACCCTTGTCAGGTGTTCCAGCTCTTCCACAGAACTGGTCTGAACTCTCACCCTGTGAAGAGGATCCAGTGATCCCCATGCCTCTTCTGTGTGTGTGTGTGAGAGGGGGAGGGGGGGAGCGGGGCGGAGGGGGAGGGACGGAGAGAGAGGTTTCATAGTTGGCCTGCTTTTCTTGGGGGCATGAGAAGCGAGAGGGTAGGGTGTGTGAGGAGGGATGAGAAGGAAAGAGGGGAACTTGGTTTTATTGCCAGTCCCTCCAGCTATCAGCTGGCAGATATTCTCAGTGCCAGGACTGGAACCAGGGGGCCCCCTTTGACAACAGCTACGTGTCGCTCAACAGAGGATGCCAGGGCTGGATTCCTGCCAAGGGGCGCTGGACTTGTTTGGATGAAGGAGGCGGTGGAGTGCCACTTCCTGACATCTCAGTCCTGACAAGGACCTCCTGGGCAGGCCCACCAGGAAACTTCAAGGGACCGAACATGCCAGAGCAGTGGAGCCCGTTGCCAGAGGGGCTGCAGCTGGAACCTACTGTGAGAATGTCGGAGACAGGCTGAGAGGAGGAAATTTCAGACCTGTTAATGTTTCCAGATTGCACCTGCTCATCCCGTCAGGGTCTAACCCAAACCCTCTGGAACATGGTGCCCCATTGCTGCAGGCTCAGTGGGACAGCTGCTCTCAACTCCTGTGTCAGCTCATCATTATCGTCATAGCTAAACCTGATGCAGTGCTTTCTAGGTGCTAGGCCAGGGGTGGGCAAACTTTTTGACTCAAGGGCCACAATGGGTTCTTAAACTGGACCGGAGGGCCGGAACAAAAGCATGGATGGAGTGTTTGTGTGAACTAATATAAATTCAAAGTAAACATCATTACATAAAAGGGTACGGTCTTTTTTTTTTTTTAGTTTTATTCATTTCCGGCCCGGGGGCCGTAGTTTGCCCACGGCTGTGCTAAGCACTGTTTTAAGCAAGTCGATGTATCAATTAATTTATTCCTTCAACAAGTCTGTCAGATTTTACAGATGAAGAATCTGAAGGACAGAGAGGTTAAGGAATCACTCAGCTCAGTCCATGGCTAGCAAGTGGAAGAACTGGGATTCAAATCGAGGTTGTCTAGTTTCAGAATCTGAGCTAAGATAATATTTAATTGCAGCAATTACAGTATTTTTATTTATTTTGTCTCGCAGATCCCCACATTGTGTGTATCATGGTGTTGCCTTTTTAGAGAAGGGACCCCGAGGCTTAGAGAGGATACACAGGCTTTCCAAGGTCACCCAGAGTTCACAGGGCAGAGCCAGTGTGGGATGCAGAATAGACTCCAGGGCACCGCTTCGTTCTGTCATGTGTATCATTATCCTCACCTTCCCACACTACACGGCTGTGAGGGGGACCTTCATGGCCCCTGCACCTCCGTCTCTGTGCCTCCCACCTGAAATGATACATGGAAAGCACTTTGCAGGTTTCCTGGGTCACAGTCACACTGAGAGAGTTGCCCTCCCCATTTTTCTTGCCTGGAAACCAGGGCAGCACCATTCTGAGCACAGTGCTCTGCGGGCCTCCAGGAAAGCACGTGCACGGGGATCTGGAAGGGGGCCCTGTGTGGGTTCCAGGTGTCTGGGGTCAAAGGGGTGTGGCAAGGAGCTTGGGGAGCAGCTACTTCCCCCTTGCCACTGAGAGGGAAGGCTCAGGAATATGGCCACCAGCAGTGCCCCCGCAGTTATAGCAAAGCTTATAGTAGATTTATAGAAAGTAAGCTGTAAAGGCCCTTACACATAATCTAGTCCAAGGATGTGATTATTTCTCCATTCCCTGCCCATTGCAGACACCTCTGATCAATCCTGGCACTCTCCACCAGACCTGGGTGAGGATTCTCCTCAGTTCAGCGCTCAGGCAGCCCTCACTTGGGCTCACAAAGGAATTAAACCCTACCTGTTGCCCCCAACACTAACCATGTTATTTTACCAGAAAGAAAACAGGGGAAGTGACTTGCTCAAGGTCATAGCCAGTTAGTGACAGTGCAGGGAATGTAAGACAGAAGTTGAGAACTGGGCACCATGACAGGCCTAGTAGGACTAGAATCCAGACATCATAACTCCCAGGCCAGCCTCTTCGCATGCACTTGAGCTGCTCTGGTTGCTAGTCCACCAGCCCAACTGAAGGGTGTGGCGGGGATACTTTGGTCCCAGATATGCTTCCTTTTTCATTTGCAGCACACTCCTCCAAGAACAGGGATGAGGAGAGCTTGAATCAGGAGGCCAAAGCAGAGAGCAAACCAGAAGGTGAGAGGATGGTGAGACCAGCAGGTTTTCTCCTGTACCTTCCTTCCTCCTATCTGCCAGGGCTGAGGCAGGGCTCTTGGCCTCTCTGAGCCAGTCAGCTGGAGTGGTGATCTGGTGCTGCCTGCACTTTGCTGTAGTCCAGGGTCCCTCTTCCCCAGGCAGTCCTGTACTGTTCCCTCCATACTCTCCTTATGTGGGGTAGGCAAGGCCAGGAAAGGCCAGGCTGGAGGTTGTTGACTCCCACTTCTGTTTTTGCTGAATCTTGTCCCATATTAGACTATATTGGACTCTAGTTCTTCTTCCTGCCACTTCTAAAAAAGGATAGTTCTGCTAGGGATTGGCCCGAGACCAGCAACCCCAGTGAGGAAAGGCCACCAGGGGTCTGGTGGCACAGAAATCCAGCATCTGTGTGGCTGCTGGGACAGGGAGTGTGAGACAGCTACTGCCCTGTGGGCTCTATACCGCACACCGGGACTCCTGTTGTACTCAGTAACCCTTGGAGGGAGCTAGAGCAGCAGTGGTTGTTCCCATTCTATAGACACCATTCTATAGACACCATTCTATAGACAACGGAGGCTCAAGAGGTCAAGTGACTTTCCCAAAGCCACATGGCCAAGAAGCGAAAGAGCCTGTACCTAAACCCAGCTCTCCGGACTTGCCAAGGCTTCCTAGCTGCTGTCTTTGAAATCATTAGGATCCTCTCCATGCAGCTGGTAGGGGGAAAGGTCAGACCCTTAGGGCTGTGGCTTTACCCTCTTTCTGTTCCAGTTGCCTATGCTGGCCAGGATGGAATGTCTGCAAATACAGAAGGAGCAAGGATTGCCATTTCCCAGCTGTCCTCTCATCTGTACATATCTCTGTGGAAAGGACAGTAACAGTTCACATCACATCATTTTACTTTTTCTATCAACAAGAAATCCCCCTTCTGAGATCCAGAAGTGGACAAGTCCAATAGCCCAGTAGCCACTCACATCGGTCTCTTAGCTGCCCTCAACACCTGGTCCTCTTCTGACCTATCCCATGTTTATCCTTTAAAGAGGAGGAGCCAACCAAGCTCCCTGCGGTCAAGGTCACACCAGCCCCTGCTCCAGACGTCAAGGGAGATCAGGAGGAGGATCCTGGCGGTCAGGTAGGCACAAGCCTCTTCCCAGGTAGAGGAGTGTGAGAGACCCAGGGAAGGACTTGTTGACCAAAAAGTCTTCCTTCCTGAAGGTCTGAGGTTCATTCCTCTGGGGTAAGCATTGGAAGATGAGATACTTCATGGGGCCAGTTAATTCACCATTACACCTGAGTGTGAGTCAGAGAACATATACAAGAATGTGTTGCCAACTGTCACCTGCTGTAAAAACATAAGAAAAAACTGTTAGGGGTCTCCCAGCAACTTAGGGACGGCGAGACCAGTCAGCTTAACATGCCCGGGGCGGGTGCTGGGGAAAGGCCTGGGAACCTTCCAAGGCATCTTGGCCTTGTCCACTGGGCTTCCTGCGTTCTGATACTGCTGTCTTTACAGCCTCAGCCTCTCCCACCTGCTATAGCCAAACTGGACTTCTTGTTTCCATGCTTTTCTACCTGGGCCCAGACAGTTTCCTCCCCCTAGAATGCCTTTTCCTCCTTCTTCAGATACCCTAACCTGCCTCCAGGCAAGTGCAAATGCCTCCTTTGCCATAAGGCTTCTCCACCATCCAATCTGAATGCCTATGGTATATTGTTCCTCTCCCAGGGCTCTTATCAATACTGCCTTCTTTGTACTCTGTCTCTTAGCTCCCCTGCTAGGTGGTGAGGTTCCTGAAGGCAGGATCCAATTCTGAGTCATCTCTGTTTCCCCCACAGAGAGAAACTCAGGGCACAATAAGGGTCGAGTGACTGGCAATAAATTAACAATCAGTTTGCAGGTTCCATTGCTTTTTTTTTTTTTTTTAAACTTGACACTCAGAAGCACTCGATTATATCTTATCCTTAAGCCAGCAATTTGGGTTCAGGTCTAAGACATTTTCATGGTATCATGAGTGTCCCGAATAGGTCCCGGACAGCCAGCTCAATTAAAAGGGATTAAGAGGAACCCCAGCGCAGGAAGTGAAGGTTGGTGTCACTAGGAGCTGGTCCTAGGCCTGAGAAGGTATCTGTGACCCTGGAGGCTTCTCAGTCCATGTCTGGCTCTCCCTCACATCCCCTCCTCTGTGTGCACGCTTTCCTAGTAGCCTGGCTCCATTTGCTTCCTTATTAGCTCACACAGCCCTAAAATACTACCCTAGTTCTCAGTCTACAGGGGGGGATCAACCAGTGATTGGCTCCTTGTCACAGAAGAGAGAAAACTCGTTCAAACCAGGTCATGGGGCAGGGATCCAGCCTGTGTCCAATCAGCTGTGGCAGGGAAAGGAGGGTGCTTTGACTTCAACAAGGAAGAAGGGATGTTAGGGGTGGCAGTTTTTAGAGAAGAGGGTACAGGCTGGGCAGACACTCCCATACCTATGGATTTAAAGGACTTGTCGTCTTCTCCAGGAAACCTCTCCTGATGGGGCTGTGAGGGAGGCAGGAATGACTTCAGACTAAAATCTCACTCTTCATTCCAAATTCAAAGCAAAGCCTTACAGAGACTAATATTTGACTTCATCAGGGGTTCTTAACCCTGGCTGCATAATAGAACAATTTGGGGAAGCTTAAAAAATGCCCAGGCCCCCCAAAATGCCCAGGCCCCATCCTCAGTCAATTAAGCCAGAATATCTGGGTTGGGCATGAATGTTTTTAAAGTCTCCAGGTGACTTTAATATGCAGCGGAGTTTGAGACTCACTGAGCATCCCTTGGGGATGGGCTATGTCATGGAATTTGTTACAGAAAACATACTCCATGGGCACACAGTCAGGCCATTTGCTCGTTTGGATCAGCACATTGTTATAGTTAGTTGAGAGCCTAATCTGAGGACCCTCAGAGTCAATGGCTTCAGACTGCATGGAATCAGTCCATGGTCCCCAAACACCGGTCTGCAGATGGACTTGTTGGGAGCACTTGTGAGCATGTTAAAATAGATTCCTGGCTTCCAGACCCAAATATTCTAATTCAGTTGGTCCAGGTGGGGCAAGGAAATGTGTATTTGTTTCTTTCTTTTTTTTTTAAGATTTTAAAATTGATTTTTAAAGAGAGAAGAAGGGAAAGGAAGAGAGAAACATCAATTTGAAAGCAAAACATTGATCCTCCCCAGGATCAAGCCTGCAACCCAGGCATGTGCCCTGAGTGGGAATCTTAACGGGAACATTTCGGTGCATGGGATAACGCAACCAACTGAGCCACGCTGGCCAGGGCAGAAATGTGTATTTGTTTTTTTTGTGTTTTTTAAAAAATATATTTTATTGATTTTTTTTTTTTACAGAGAGGAAGGGAGAGGGATAGAGAGTTAGAAACATCGACAAGAGAGAAACATCGATCAGCTGCCTCCTTCACACCCCCAACTGGGGATGTGCCCGCAACCAAGGTACATGCCCTTGACCGGAATCGAACCTGGGACCCTTCAGTCCGCAGGCTGACGCTCTATCCACTGAGCCAAACCAGTGAGGGCAGAAATGTGTATTTGTAATAAGCTTCCTACACTGTAAGGTTTGGGAACCAAAGATCTCATTTGGCCCTGGCATTTGCAAAACAGGGTAGGTTGGTGGTTAAAAGGCCAAGAGTTGGACTATCCATATTCAAATCCCAACTCTATCACAAACTGTGTGGATCATGGGCAAGTTATTTAACTACTCTGTACCCTAGTTTTTCCATCTATCAGATGGGTTTAATTCTATCTATATCATTAATTAATTGCTCATGAAACATAGTACTTGCTAACTATTATTATTATTATAATATCACTTAGCATGATGCCTGGCACATATAAGCCATCAATAAATAGGTATTATCATCAATTTATACTTATGATGTAATATAACAGTTTAGGAGTTTAGTGGACACAGCAATGTTATATAATCACCAAAAGTTATCATGCAATATTAATGGAAACATGTCTAAGATAAGGAAGCTGATAATCCCATTAAACTCTGTGCAGTGCTCTATGTTCAGGTTTAGAAGCCTCCTCATGGGATATAAGCTAATTAGAATGAGTTCACCAAGCTGGGGATGAGGCTCCAGGCCATTATATGGGGGGATGACAGAAGGACCTGGGTATCTCTAATGCAGGAAAGAGAGCTGTCTTGTGGAAGAGTGATTAGCTTTATTCTATGCATCTCCACAGAGTAAACCTAGACACAGAGGGTAGCTCCTTGGTATACATATGAACTTCAAACCAAGCAGAGTTGCCAAAGATGACACAAGTTCTTCCGGTGAGTGTTCCATCCCTGGAAATGCTCAAATAAAGACTAAACAACCACTGGGTAGGAATGTTGTGAAGGGGAATTTTGCTGAGTAATTGCACTAGTTTTCTCCTCGTACATGAGTTTTTAGCTATATTCTGAGAGAACAACAATAAAAATAATAGGAAGAAACTGGGAAAGAAAACAAGCAGAGAAGTTACGTTAATCGGTTGGCTTTGGATTGCAGGAAGGAGATGTGGCTGGAGCTGAGAGCACAGGTGCAATGACAGGCAAAGAGGTTGAAGCTCCTGGTGAAGGTGAAAATGGAGGTGAAACTCAGCTAGAAGGTGAAGGTGAAACTGAAGCAGAAGGGAAAGGAGACAATGAAGGTGAAGGTGAAATCCAAGCAGAAAGAAAAAGAAATGATGAAAGTGAAGCTGAACTCCAAACAGAAGGAGATGCTGGTGAAGTGAAAGGTGACACCGAAGAGCAGGGATTCAATGCTGGAAATCAAGGTGAAACCAGAAGTGATGAGAAAGGTACAGATGGTGAAGGGGGAGGTGATGGAGGTGATGGTGAACATGAAGAGAACAAGAGTGAAGTCCAAGCAGAAATAAAAGAAAATGATGAAGGAGAAGGTGAACTCCCAGCAGAAGGAGAAGATGGCAAAATGAAAGGTGATGGTGAAAATAAAGAGCAGGACTTCATTGCTGAAAATCAAGGTGAAGCCATAAGTGTTGAGAAAGGTACAAATGGTGAAGGAGGCGGTGATGGAGGTGACAGTGAAGATGAAGATGAAGATGAGGATGAGGATGAGGATGAGGATGAGGATGAGGATGAGGATGAGGAAGAAGAGGAGGAAGAGGAAGAAAATGAGGAGCCTTTGTCGCTGGAGTGGCCTGAGACCCGGCAGAAGCAGGCTATTTATCTCTTCCTCCTGCCCATTGTGTTCCCACTGTGGCTGACAGTGCCCGACGTCCGGAGGCTGGTGAGTTTGCCCAGCCATACCCTAGCCTAGACTGTCTATCTCCAGAGAGGCTTTCCACCCAAGAGGAGGGAGAGGACAGGGTCAACCAGCTTGGCAGGGCTCAACCACAGAGAGGATTTGGGTTGGAATTCGCAGCTCTGGAGGGGACCATGCACCTAGGGGGACATGGGCCTGTGAGGCCCTAGAATGTGCTTACTTCCACCTCTATAAGCAATGTGAACTAGTCCCGCCTTGACTGTTTCAGGATTCTGATTTTAATATAGGAATGATGCCACCCCACCCCACCATATTTCACAGGGTTACTGTGAAAACCCAAGGCGATAAGTGCCATTTCTTCCCAGCATCCTATTAACAGGGAAAAATCTGACTAGCATACCCCACCCAAAGGCTGTCCATATTTTGTCTCTGGGTCTGGAGAGGGGTAGGGCAGAGAGAAGTTGCAGAAGCCAAATCAAATACCCAGATCGGCTTGGTTCTGGGGCAAGCAAATAGCTCTTCAGTTTGGTGACTACTGAACACCCTACTGACTGTACTTCCTTGTGGGCCACCAACCCCATCCTTTCCCTGCTATGTCAAGGTCCTCACTGGAAACAGATTTCAGCCCACATCTCTGGATCCTCTCCATCATCCCCCAGCAGATCTCATCACTGATTCTGGGGCTCTCTCAAAAGGGCCAAAGACCTTTAGCCTCTGAAACTCACTTCTTTTTCTTTTCATACTTTCACATAGGAGTCTAGAAAGTTCTTTGTTATCACCTTCCTGGGATCCATCCTGTGGATAGCCATATTCTCATACCTTATGGTGTGGTGGGCTCACCAGGTGAGTAAAAAGCAGGAACTAAATCCTGTGTCAGCAAGTTGAAAGGCTTTTTTCCTTCAGGGTAAATTTCCAGTACTTAGGGAATGGTGAGCATCAAGTGCATTTGTAGTTTCTACATTGTTGGCAAAGGCGGCCTTTTTATTCCAGTGGATGTAGTACTTTTCAAGTGTGGCTTTCCTTACATTCACATGCAGCGTGACATAGAAGGCCCTTCACAATCTGCTCATCACCCTGTCCCCTTTCTCTGTCATGCATCTCCCCCTCGTCCCCACCTGGTGAATTGTACACACTTGTGAGAGCAAGCACAGTTTTGCCCTGTCTCTGGCATTTTAATCCTCTGAGTGCCCATGGCTTTTCTGTTCTACCTGGAATATTGCACTAGCACAGAGCTGTAATCGTTGTTTATAATCGTTTTTCCTTCACTAGGCCGAGAGTAGGGTCAGTGTTGTACTGCTCATACTTTTCTCTCCAGCTCTTAGTTCCTGGCACATAGCAGGTGTCCATGGTTCTGGAAATAGAAATGTGACATGAACAGATCTTTGGAGGGGCAGTTCTTTTAGAAGTAGAGGTACTGTTGTTTGAATGTCAGTGACAGGTGGTATTAGAGATGGACTTTTAGTCCATCTTAGATAAGAGCAGGGTCATACCCTGAAGCCTTGAGCAGGGGCCCCATCTCCCCAGCTGTCAGTTCCGCCATGACCCGGCCTTGCTCAGGTCACGGGCGTGTGCTGAGCTCCATGGGAGGTGTTGGGTTTGCACAAAGCAGTATGTGGAAGAGCCTCAGATTTTCCACTTGCTGTTGCCGTGGTTTCTTATTGCTGTTACTGTTTATCAGGTTGGTGAAACAATAGGGATTTCTGAAGAGATTATGGGTTTGACGATCCTGGCAGCAGGCACATCAATTCCTGACCTGATCACCAGTGTGATTGTTGCTCGGAAAGGCCTGGGAGACATGGCCGTGTCAAGCTCTGTGGGCAGTAACATATTTGATATCACCGTGGGGTGAGTGGCAAAGTTGCTTTTTAAGGATTATTAAGTAAGACTGGAAAACCTTGTGTTGGCTCTGTGCACTGGTTTTCTGCTTCATTCATTATACATGGAATAAAAGGGCATTTAAAGTATTAGTTTCTATAAGGCAACAAAGTATTCTCCCTTCATTAATCACAGACAGATGAGATAATAGAACTAAAATGCTGCCTGAAATGTAACTGACTGGAATTTATAGATGAGTTGAAAAATGAAGTCCATTAAATTCCATTACTAAATACAGTCAAATGCTCTGCTCACTGACCTGCAAGGTGGTGGAGGTGGGGTTGGGACAATGACTCAGTCTCACTTCCTGATGTTCTTGTTCCTTTGCTTTTGGGTTCCCGCCAGCTCTAAAAGCATTTTGTGTAAACAAGCAAATGCTGCATCCTGCTGCACCCATTCCCTCACCTGGCCTATTTTCATTTCCCTAGTCATGTCCTGGACTTGAGTGGTGGCTTTGGTTTCATTACTTTGAATTTGTGTGTATGGGTGGGGCCGGGAAAGGTCATAGGAGAGCCCTATCCCTAAGTAATTTAAAGGAATGCTATCCTGAGCTGGGCCTTACATAAAAATTTAGAGATTAGAGTCACACATCAACAGATCTGGTTAGTCATACAAGTCATTTGGTATGAAGAAAAAATAGCCAGACCTAGAAAACTTCAGTTTCAATCCAGGCTCTCCCAGTTAGCTGTGAGCCCAAGGGCATGTAATTGAACTTTCCTGAACCTTGGTATCCTCTTCTGTGAAATGGGGCTAATATTTCCTGCTCTATTTCATAGATTGTGTGTGTGTAAAAATGAGTGCTTTGTAAATTGTAAAATACAGTTTATGTGATTAGAAACATGAAAAATACTCATTGTTTCTTCATCTCACAGCCTGCCTGTTCCCTGGTTGCTTTTCTCTCTTATCAATGGACTACAGCCTGTTCCAGTCAGCAGCAATGGCTTGTTCTGTGCCATCGTCCTGCTTTTTCTCATGCTCCTGTTTGTGATCTCTTCAATTGCATCGTGCAAATGGAGAATGAACAAGATCCTGGGCTTCACAATGTTCCTCCTTTACTTTATATTCCTGATAATCAGTGTGATGTTAGAAGATCGAATCATATCCTGTCCTGTATCTATCTGAGTCAGTCACTGTTGCTCAAAGTGGACATGGACCAGAAAACCATGGCAGAAGTTACTGTACCTCTTGGTCCATTGATGAATGAACATGATCCAGGAGAGTGAACTGAGAGGCTGGGAGCATCTGATGTCAATGTGATACAGGAGTGAAGGTTATCGTTGGGAACACCTGCAGCTCATTGTGATTAAAAATCTCACTTCTGGGGTCGGGGAGTGTATGGAGTTCCAACCCTTACTGCTACAGACACTGTCACATGGACTCCAGTAAAAGGACCCCTGGAGTCAGAGGGTTTTCTACATGAGATACCTGGAGGGTTGGGACAGGCACAGTAAGACAAGCCACCAAGCTCACGTATTCCTGATTACTAAAGGGCTGCTGATCCAAAAGATGCAGATGTGGTCTCTATCTGACCCTCCTGGCTCCTGCCCCAAGCACATGCTGCACTTCCTGTCTGTCTCCTCTTTTTCTGTTCAAAACATGAGGTTCTACCAGGTTTGTAATCATCACTGGTTCAGTTACTGGTGAGTTTAAGAGCTAAGGCTATAGGAAAAAATGAAATATAACAGGAATCAATTATCATTAGTAAGATGTGTACCAATATTTTATAGCTTAAAAGGATTACATTAGCTCTTATTGCATTTCTGAAAAGTGAAATTAAAATAAGTAACCCAAGAAATTAAAATTTGTAATTTGCCCTTGAATTGGAAGGCCTGGATATGAGAGAAGGAAAACTACTCTAAGGGCTATTTAAAAATATGTACTTATTAGAAAATCCAAGTTAGTGTTGTCTCCATCAAGTGGTCTCCTTGAGGGATTAGACATATAACACAGTGGCTGGTCCTGGCTCTGCCCCTCCCGCATATTCTCACCCAACAGCACAGCTGCTCCTAGTGAGTGAGAAGGTGGAGTTCGGTCAGTAGAGCCAAGTCTGGTTTACAAAGTAGAGATCCAGTGGGGTGAGGCCACTTTTGCATGTTAACCCCGATGGGACTATAAAGCAAGATGGATGGATGTCTTATGTGGCTTACAAGTGGGGATTAAGGCAATCACAAAGGAGAAATCCCAAAAATGCTTAGCACAATGGCAACACAGTGAGAACAAAAGTATTTCTACTTCCAAGATAGCTAGTGTAAAGGACACTTGTTTTTAAAAAGTGTCTGGTTATTTAAACATTTCATGTGGAATTTGAAGTGCTTGTATATTAAATACCAATGCTTACTGCTTTTACTAGCATCAAGTTAAGGGACACATGAGAAATGAAACAGTTCTATGTCCCTGGTTTCAGAGCAAAGGGAACTGAGGGGACTGTAGACGATGATGGTAAATAGAGCTTTCGTTACAACATGAGAGAGGATTCACTGAAGACTAGAAGATAGCAGGACAGATGTGATATGAAAAAAAAAAATCAAACATTTTGGTGTTGATGGGCTGTGTTCAAAGAAAGTACTTCAGTCCATAATCCATCTTTAGTTTGCGTTAATTTAACTAATGGCCTCACTACCCCAGGAATCATGCTCTTTAGAAATGACTTTTATTCAGTTTCAATAAATTGTGAGTCCCATTGGTATTTTACAAACATGGTCAGAATGCTCCAGAGAAGACTGATGAAGAATATGGAGTCATATTCAAATTCCATATTCTGAAGTTATCCTCATTCCTGATGCTGCTGCAGTGCCCAGTCTCCACATGCCATGACCTAAGAACAGGAAGGAGATCCCAATGCCAACTCTGGGCGCCAACCTGGTTTCTGCAGCCTATTCCAGCTAGCCACAGGGCATTCCTCCCACTGATGGCCAGGGACCTGGCGCTCTTCCCCAGAATGACTGAGTGGGGAGTGATGGACAGTGAAATGTTCTGTAATGATAAAGCTGCTTCATGATTAAAATTAACTCTAATGATCTAACAACCTTTTCCTAATCAGTGTACTGAATTTTTGGCATTTCTCTTTGCCTAGAAAGGAAGTTCTGGTAAGTTTACACTATGACAGAAAGGGTTAAGCATATAAAATGAAAGCTGGGTCTTGATGGGTGAGAAGGAATTCAAGAGGGAAAGGAGAGAAAGATTTCCGGGAGATGAAAAACTTATGTAACTTGTAAAAGATGCTTGGAAGTTAAAATTTTTGTCAAACATTTACAGATCTATAATTTATTAAAATTGTGCTGTTTTAGAGATGAATTACCATCTTAAAATGTCAACATAATGTTGAGATGGTCCTTTCATTTGATAGGCAGATGTGATAAGAAAAGATAGCAGGACAGAATACAGAATAATCTGTATTCTAGATCATTCGTTCAGTCTAGAAAGTCCAAACTGTCCCCACAAGGGTTTCTGAATTGGAAGACTGGCTGAACAGATGGTTTCTTCTTCATTCCCCATGAAGTTGCATTTTCTTGATGGACCTGGGCCAAATTTCTAGTAATGTGAAACTCGTTCTAATTTAACAGGTTAAAATTCTATATGGTACCAGAATAAAAGGCTACATTCCAAACTTATGAAAATTAGTATATGTTTAAATTGTTACTATAAACTGCGAACAATATATTGCACTCTCATCTGAAAATGTTTCTATCAAATTATAGGCTTGGCCTTTTATAACACTGTCTATAGCCAGCGGTTCTCAACCTGTGGGTCGCGAACAATGAAAATACATCCTGCATATCAGATATTTACATTACGATTCATAACAGTAGCAAAATTACAGTTATGAAGTAGAAACGAAAATAATTTTATGGTTGGGGGTCACCACAACATGAGGAACTGTATTAAAGGGTCGCGGCATTAGGAAGGTTGAGAACCACTGGATACCATAATTATCATTTATTTAAAGATTGAATACCAAAAGCAGCCAGAATTGGAATGTAATATTCTGGGCAAAGCCTAGTAGATACAATTGAAGAACTGGTCAACCTTATGTGTCAGAGAATACCTTTGGTTCTGACCCCTTTTTTGTGGGCAGGTCCTGCTGCAGGTGGGACTGGTCTCTATAAAAGACACAGAGAACTCATGATCAGGCTGCCTATCCCTGGGGAAGGGGGATCACTAGAACCAGCAGGACACCCTGGCCTAAGGCTGCCCACACACCCACGGCACTGCTTCTGCTCTTCAGCTCTTCCCTGTGATGAGCAGGTAAAACCTGGAGAATTTCATTGAAAGAAAATTTCAACCGTTGCTCCGGTGGTCTATCACAGTACTGTGTTTGAAAAGAAAATCATTACATACAAAAGGAGGGCGCCATCCACATGAACAGCAACTGTGGAAAGGGCCACAGTAACTTTATCAGATGAGTTTGTTACCATCTCAGAGAATAAGCCCAAGCACACAGATTTTTTTGAATCAGAGTCAGAAATTCCTATGTGAATTTGTACACTGTTGATTTTGTAAACAAGAATAATTAAGCCAGCAAATGTACTGTGAGGCCAGAGGAAGAGGGTAATGTGAAGGTATTAAAAAGAAGATACCAAATACTGAGGATATGAAGGTCAACTGGTGTGCAGCTGCTACAGAACTCGATTCTGAAGTAAAACTCAGCCTTGTGTCTAAACAGAAAGGGCAGAGAATACAAACTCGAGCACAGAGGTGGGCCAAGCGCAGTCTGCTCTTTCCCTTCCTGCTCTGAGATAAAGTGCCTGAAAGCAGCTTTCAAGTTCTAGTGGGAGATAAAAACAAAGCTGGGCTGTCACACTTTACCATACAAATGGGCATTTTCTTACCATATACTTACAAAGTATTTAGAATCCAACATAACAGCCTTCTATATACAGTAGGCTAACAATTGTTAGTTGCACTAAAATATCATAGTAATTACCAGCATAAAGTAAAATTAGTATTTATCACCTGAAATGCTGAACCAACATTTGCAGGGATCATTTCTCTACATACAAAAATGGAAGACATATTAGAAAATCTTACAATAAAACAGGCAGGTGATTTTAGGGTTTTAAAGCAAACAACAACAACAACACACAAAAACAACACACACAAATACAAAAATCCTCCAAACAATCACGAAAGACAAAAATCAGAATATGAACAAGCTGCACAACTCCCTACCTGACAATAGGATGAAAAGCTGAATATCTAAATATGATATAAAATACAAGTGTGTGACATTCAAAACACAATTGAAAAAAGTAGTAAAGTTATACCAGGACACAGAATGATTTATTTTCAACTATTAAACATATAACAAAACTAAGAGTAAGAAAATCAGAGACAGGTAATGTAGCAAAGGGTATTTCTCTCCAACACAATTGGCCATGATTCTCCAAAATGTATGGTCAACAGAGAAAAAAACAGAAGGAAAGAATGCATAGAGTTATTTTAAAGGATGATCATATTTTAATTTTGTTTTGAAGAGTTTACCACTTCCTTTTCATGGTTCAGAGTATGTTTTAAGACTAAATTTGTGTAAATAATATTCCTTGGGGATTAAAAGTAGGGGAAACAAAACCCAACCAAAAGCAGAAATAAAACTATGTGTGGGGGGAGGAGATACAAATTATATTCACTTTTCCAAATAAGTTTGACCTATGAAGAATGGGCTTTACCTCACCGTTTTGGGTCAGATTTGAAATAAAAGAACTGTGATTCATATTGTGTTAAAGATAGGTAAACAATAGTGAAAGCTGTTCTTATAAGGGAAACAAACCAACCAACAGACAACAACAAAAGCCAGAATAGAACCCCAGAATCCTGTTTGGAGGGATGTTGTGGGCAATGCCAAAAGTCTCACCTATCACATATTTCTCACTAGACAACTTACAAGTGATTTAGAACAGCAGTCGCCAACCAGTGGTCTGTGAGGTCCAAAAGGTTGGCGACCACTGATTTAGGTAGAAAACATAAGACTCAGAATGTGAAGCTTGGATTTGAATAGTAGAAGACAAAATTGGAGTGGTATTTACAAAGGAGAGGCAGACACATGCATAGCACCAGATTTTTCAAGTAAGCAAGTTCAGCCCCAAACTAACTGAACTAAAATTTTACATTTTTAAACTCTTCCTGTTATTTTCCAGAGTAGAAGAAAGCTGTGAAATGTTTCAGCTTCGTGATATTCACTAACAGTGTGAACTCAAAAGGTGGTTTTCTGTAGCTGAGCTGATTCTAAGTCTCAGGACTTCATGTTATCCCCAGTCCAAATGTCCTGGACTTTACTGGCTTTATACACATAAATTGGGACCACCCATTTTTTTCTTTGAAATTGGCTAGAGAATTCCTTCCTTAATGACAATGTATGCAAACATACACACGTACTGAAAATCTATAAATAATTCTAACAGCCAAAGAATACTTTTGATCAGAATTACCCAAAGAAAGTGAAATTAGAAATGAGATTAAAAATATATTTTAGAGTCTACTCATGATGCTTAAATATTCAATTTATTGTCTGATTTCTGGACTTTACATTCCATAAACTTCAGATTCTGAAGGCTTATTGAAAAAGCCAATTTCCTCAATATGGGAAATTCTCTCTGACTTTACTTTTAGAGAGTTATTACTTTTCTACTTTTGAAAAAAAATTGAATATTTATATCTGTATATAATATTAACTGAAAACTCCAGTAGGCCATATTCCCGATAAATACAGTACAATTTGCATCATACCCAATATTTTAGACATTAAGGTTAAAATCTGGAATAGAGTATATTGTCTGACATATTTCCCAACATAAATATTTATGTAGATATTAAAATTTAAACTGATATTTGGCTTTGTAAGCTATTTCCCCTGTGGACTGTATGTATCTATTAGCGATAGAGAAATTTTGGAATTGTGGTATACTGACCCTGATTTTGCAGAAACAGACTTGGAACCTCTGGGGCTCTCCTTCCACAAGGCTCAATGAGTCAGTCTGGGCAGTGCACACCCTTGTCATGACTCACTCACTGCCGTTAGGCGTAGGAGTACTAACATGCAATTCCAGGACAACACAGACACTAGCACTGACATTTTTTTAATCATTCCCCCAAGTAATAAAAAAAATATAGATAGATTTACATATAGAGATCTGCAGCTGTACTAGTTACTTCAAATAGCAGACAAGGAAAATAAGCACTTAATTGCTTGCTTTATAAGTTTAAGTTCATTTTAAGCTTGCTATATTAAGTTTAAAAATTAAAAAAATATCAACTTACTATAAACAATTTAAAATATGTATAATACAACTTCATGGTCAAAACATTTGACTAGTCTATGAAAACAGGAGATACTACATTAGTTCAAGTTTCATACATGAGTTTTCAATATGTCTCTTACAAGAGAAACCATGAAAAGGTTGTTTTATTTTATGGGAACTAATTTTGTTTAGGGATTTCCCCATCACAAAACGAACTGATTGTTATAGGGAAAGTAAAGGAAAAAAAGGAAAGGGGAAACAAAGTGGCTCTCTCCCTATTGGTCACTATTCTCCTTAAAATATTCTGTACATGAGCTATATGGACATTCTGAACCATTTACAAATTCATTTTCAAAAATTGAAGAAGAAAAGTTTAGAGTCTAAAAGTGTTATTTTATACACAGACTATACAATACATATTGAAAGTACACACACACACACACACACACACACATCTTAAAGATAAGGTTCTCCAAAGGTTTTTCGACATTCCATCACTCCTGTACTTGGCGGTCTGTCACAGTTGTGTGTATTCTTGACTTGACTAGGTGTGAGACGATCGTATGCCATCTTGTATTCTTTATCAAATACATCTGAAAAAATTCACAAGAAACAAAGGCATAAAGAAATTTATATTTGATTTTGATAACAACCAAATAATACTACAGAACTGCAAAATTAAAGGCCAAGAAGGAATCTTGAGGTCTTTTCTGACAACTAAAGGACCACAGAATTTCAGAACTGGAACATGGGAACTTTAGAGTCCATAGCTCTTTAACTCTTTAGAGTGAGATTACACAGAACAGTGAAATTTAAAGCTGTAAGATGCCAACTTTTAAAAATGATTCCCCCCCCCCAAATTTTAAAACTGAGGTAAAATATATATAACATAAAATTTACCATCTTAACCATTTTTAATTGATTTTTTTTTTTTTTTAGGGAGAGGGAGAGGGAGAGGGATATCGATCTGTTGTTCCACTTATTTATGTTGATTCTTGTATGTGCCCTGACCGGGGATTTAACCTCAACCTTGATGTAATGGGACTATGCTCTAACCAACCGAGCTACACAGCCAGGGCTGCCATCTTAACCATTTTTAACTCTACAGTTCAGTGGTATTACATACGTTCATAATGTGCAACCATTATAATCATCCATCTCCATAACTCTTTTCATTTATAAAACAGAAACACTAAATACATTAAACAATAATTCCCCATTCTCCACTCCTCCAGCCCCTGGCAACTACCATTCTACTTTTTTCTCTATGACTGTGACTACTACAAGTACTTCATAAATGGACTCATATAGTATTTGACTTGTTGTGACTGGCTTATTTCACTTAACATAATGTCCTTAAGGTTCCATCCATATTGTACCATATGTCAGAATTTCCTTCTTTTTTAAGACTGAATAGTATTCCATTGTATGTATATACCACATTTTGTTTAAGACTGAATAGTATTCCATTGTATGTATATACCACATTTTGTTTATTCACTCATACTTCAATGAACACTTGTTTCCAGTTTAGCTATTATAAATAATGCTGCTATGAACATGGGTGCACAAATGTCTCCTTAAGACCCTCCTTTCAATTCTTTTGGGTATATATCCAGAAGTGGAATTAATGGATTATATGGAAATTCTATTGTTACCTTTTTTAAAAATATTTTTATTGATTTTTTACAGAGAGGAAGGGGAAAGGATAGAGAGTTAGAAACATCAATTAGAGAGAAACATCCATCAGCTGCCTCCTGCACACACCCCACTGGGGATGTGCCCGCAACCAAGGTACATGCCCTTGACCAGAATCGAACCTGGGACCTTTCAGTCCGCAGGCCGACACTCTATCCACTGAGCCAAAACGGTTAGGGCTATTGTTACCTTTATTATTAACATTACCAAAATATCAAAGTATCTCATATCAAAAAAATAAAAGAAAAAAGTATATTATATGAATATACATTATTAAAATAATAAAGACAACCAACATAAAAACTATAAAATATATTGAAAGTATGCACACACATATTTTTAATGATATATAAGTATTACATGTTAAATATTATGCAGAATTACCTATATCAATATTTTCTCTTCCCAGTGCCACAAGTGAGAGAAATAATATTTCTCTATATAAACTCCTGGGAGGGGGTGGGGGGAGAAGGGAAGAATGGAGAAGATAATTACTATGCATACAGTTTATTCATTTTCTACAAAAATTTTTATGCTAATATAAGCATGAGATATTCTAACAAATTACTAAGCAAACAACATTAATATGCCTAGAGGAACAGTATGTTCATTTAAGATAATGACTTACCTCTGTCTTTTAAAATGAGGACATTTATTCAGTGTCTCTAAAATCTGACTCATTGGTCCATAGACATCATTCATTTTGATGCTTTTTACCATATTTTTCAATAGTTCCTGGCTAAATGAATTATCACCTTTTTGTAATAAATGGACCATTGGATACTTATGGGCTGTAAAAGAACCAAAGAGCAGTTGAAGGAAAATGTTCTTTGTAGAAAGGAAAATGTAATTAAGCAGCAACTAATAGCTGGCAAAGAAGTTACAAAGCACTAAAAATAAATGAAGGGCAATAGAAATCTTAAAATGAAGAAAGAAAAAAGAAAATAAAAAAGATAAATAATGATAGAAATAGGCCGAAAGCTTTTTTGGCCTCAAAGACAAAACTTAAAAATACTGTTCTCCTTAATATAGCTCCTGGGGGAAGCAGCCCAGATGGAAACAAACAAAAATAAATATAAAGAAGAAGTTGGGATAAGCAATGTGCTAAAAGCAGAACTCTACAAAACACAACCCCTCCAGCACATATACAACACTACTAAAAAAACAAACCCAAAAAACACAAAATAAAAAATAAAAAAACCCTTGACCTCCATAGAAGATAAGCACTAAAAACATTAAACTTAACACTCACTCTCAAACAAAAGAGTACGATTTTGACCTGTAAGACAAAAAGTAGTATAGTAAAATAAAAGTCAGTTATGCATTAGTTTAGGCTATTTAAAGTAAGTAGAGATTACTCTCATATAAAAAATCCAGCACATTCTATGATAGCACTTACTGTGGGCATTCCAGAGGATATACAAGGGCTGTCCTGGATCCTGATGTAATTTCATATTGTCCCATAACATTTGTATTAAAACATATTTACTATCTTCAGACATACAGTGGCGGGGAATCTGTGTTGAAGAATAAACAAACATTCATTAATGATCCTTACATAATGTTTTGTAAATATCTTATAAATAACCTTATAAATATTTTTTTCGGATGTATGTGTGCAAGAGATAAAGAGAACAGCAAATGACCGGTCTGTATGCATTTTATATTGACTGAAGGAAGATGGGCTGAGTTGAGAATCTAATGATCTCTAAAGTAAAGTGATCTCTGCTCCGAAGCAGATTTTACAAAGTACTGAGATCTGTGAGAAAGGGTAGTGTGAAGGGCTAATCTCTACCAGCTTATGGCTGAAGGTCCAAACAAAGATAAACCAGGCAGCCCCGTTCTACATCAGCCCAAGACCCTAGGCCAGATAACTCTGACTGACTTAACCTTCAGACACTCATTCATCATGCACTGAAAATCCAAAATGTGTGCACAATCATCATAGATATAAAACACAAGAAGGAGAATGCAAGGTTTCTGAACTTAGAAGCTTTACAATTTTGTGGTGGTGACAGCATATGAAAAATAAAAACACTTTTATAGAACAACATATCAAAAATACAAATGAACATATAACAAACTGAATACCTAAATGTTAATCAAAAACCCAGAGTAAAGGAATGAAGAGAATGGTAGCACATGACTACAATATGAATTAGAGAGATCCTCTTAAAGAAGGGTCAGGCTTGTTTTTGAAGGAGGTATGAAACGTGAGTGGGGCCAACTCACAAACTCTTTCCATAAGGGTCATTCACAGTTAATTCTTGAGGCCATAATTAAAATGCAAGCCCTGGGGGATGAGGACACATTTGTAATACCTTAACTAATAATAATAATAAAAAGAATAAAAATGTATTAATGATGAAAAAAAATAAAATAAAATGCAAGCCCATTTTGTATAAATTTTACAAGAAGGCTAAAAAACATGACTTAGACTGAAAGAAGAAAAATTATTTGTAAACACAATTTAATCAATCTTATTCATCTAATGATTAAGATGGTTATTAAAAATAGCATAAACATTACTTTTTTGTCATTAGGAATATGCAAACATTACAATGGTGACAATAGCATCGCCTTTTAGTTAATTTGTACTCTCATACCTTTGAATACTTGTTACAATGCTCAGAAGAAAGAATCAATCCAGGTAAGTTACTGGGCAAGTCAAGACGTCTAAAATACCACACCAGGTTCCAAAAAACAATTGGATGATGATCCACAAAGTCTGCCACTGTTATTGCATGATCGCCTTCATTTTCCAGTAAGCTTTCAAGTTCCTTCCATACTACTAAAGGACTGAGATATGGGACAGTGATAGGATCTGGACTTGGGAGGTGCCATTCTAATCCTAAAGAATCCTGTTGAATAAATAAAAACCATAAATGGTAAATATAAGATTTATGATACTAAGTCATTAAAAAATTTCCTGTCAATGTTTTCCATGTAAGTAGAAAGGTGCAATAATTGTATCATGGAACAGGAAACTCTCCTTGACAATAAAATTAAAGCTGGCCCTGGCCAGGTGGTTCAGTTGGTTGGGGCATCGTCTGGTACACCAAAAAGGTTGCTGGTTCGATTCCCGGTAGGGGCACATATGGGAGGCAACCGATGGATGTTTCTCTCTTACACTGATGTTTCTCTCTCCCTCTCCCCCCACTAAAATCAATAAACCTATCCTCAGATGGAAATTTAAAAAAATTAAAGCTAATAAGGCTGTTTCGGACAAGGTGAACAAAATCATGTAAATGATCAATGTCCAAATTTTTAAAAACACCAAAATACATACTGTAGCTCCTTGTAAAGTAGTTGGCAGGCTGCCTGTAGGAATTAGCTTCTGCCCTCCAGTGTCTTCCTTATCCAAGGGACCGGAAGTACTGACACTCCTGGTCATTGGAAATATTGGACATTTTGATAGAGCTGTTTTTGATCTATCAGCAGGGATCGGAATACTTCGGGCATATGTATTTTCCAGCCGTTTAGATTTGCTTGGGTATTGAAAAAAGAAAAAAGCATATCATTGTCTAGATTTACTTTATTTCTCTAGAAAGGCCATATTCTTCTCTTTAGCATCAGTCCTGGGCATAGCAAAGTAAATCCAAGGAACTCAGGCTTCAGCTTGGAAAAAAGGCATATATTTTTAAGTAGTCTAGTCATGTTAAATTTCCTTTTTATCCAGTGCACTTTAAATATTCAAGAATCATTTAATTATTCAAACACAGTTAGTGGACAACGTTTATACAGCAGGCCCAGATAATATAAAGCAGAGAAAATAGGCATCTATTTTTTCAGCTAGTGGGAAGGGAGATTCCCACCTATTGTAAGCTAGTGGCAGTCAAAGTAAGGGCTACAACAGACATGTGATGAAAGATAGTGCACACACAGGTTTGCAATTTTGCTGCCTAAGCATTTAGGATTAAACAGATCATACCAGCCTGCCAGTACTATGCAGGCATTTTCTTTTGCACATGCAGCTACTAATATGGCTTCATCTGCCAGCTATCTATATTTGGCACTTCTCCAAAATGAATTTTAAGCGTAGATTTATTTATATTAGGCTTACTGTATATGTCTTAGTTTAATTTTACAGTTCCTTTATCAGCTCCAAATATTTTTTTAGATTATTAAATATTCCTAAGTAGAAGATTAAATATTCCAAAATAGTAGTACTGACTTAATTCCTGAAGAGATAGACACAAGAGAAAGGTGTTCATTATAAACTTCAAGTGTTCTACAAAATTTTTACCTTTAAAATACTAGTAAACATTACATTATATGAATTATATAACTGATACCATGAGGATTCATAGAGTATAAATTATAACTGATTAAACATTTAGGTTATTAAGATAATTTTAATATTGTTTTACTTAGAATTTAAGCTTATGAATCTATTATACATAGCAACTTAAACCTTAAAATGTTCATCTAATTCTTGTCATTATCAAAAACATATATTATATAAATTGTTAACATATAGTTCTACATAATATACTCACCTATTTAAATCAAAATTCCCTTGAACAGAGATAACAGATGTGTCAAGACCAGAGGCTGATGTTGAGATACAAGACTGCCTTCCCTGACTTGAAAAGGATGGAAAATGCATATTTTCTATAGATGGACTTGACTTCAAAAAGTATCTGCAATGTGAATTAAAGGAGCTTATTGAGAAAGGAGAGATTCTAGGAAATGTGACTCTTAAACATGAAGAAAAGAAAGCATAAATCATTACCTTCCAGGTCGTCTTAAATCTCTTATCTCGATATTCAAAAAGGGCAAGAAAAGATTGCCACAAAATGGGCATGTAGTATTGAGATTTGAATCATCTGCTGTCCAGCCAGCCATGATTTCTTCATCATGGACAAGACAATCACAAGTTCTACACCGAGAGCAACTTGAGATGAGAACCTGTGGGAGAAAATGGCACTGTATAAAGTAAGCTAGTTAGTGCATATTATAAATTAAAAACAGTTCAATTCATAAATATACTAGGAAACTAAAATGCAGAAGGATTTGGAAGTTACAAACAAAATATGAATTATATTCAATGCATTATATATTTATCTTTAACTATTTCAGCTAAATCTATTCCAAAATTTTAGCCTGAAAAGGAAACTTGCATTTAAGCAAGCATTTTAACCATTGTAATTACTAAAAAAAGCCTGCCATGGAAAAGTAAACCCAAGCATAATTTGTTAGTACCCCAAATAAGTATTTGTAATTACACATTATAGATTTGTGCTACTCAAAGTGCGGTCACTGAACAAATGCTAGTCCACAAATTCTTACTGGTTTGTAATAAATAAAGAAATTGAAGGGACGATTTAGAAACCTTTAAAGTAATTTGTCAATGCTGTAACAACTAAGTGTGTGATCAATGTATTTTGCAAGAGTATCAGCTATGACAGATTGGAGATTTAAAACAACAATAAACCCCTGGTCTGTCACTAAAGATAGTTGCTGTGGATGAACATAAATATTGTCTTTACATTAATAAAATGTAGAAATTCCTGAAGTCATCAGAAACTTTGTAAATTGCAACATCAGATAGCTACATCAAACTGATACAAAGAATGAAAAACATGATGGAAAAAGTTGACACAAATGCCAAAATGGCTCCCTGTATCTTCATCAAACAAGTGTGCTTGCACAGCAAACTTGGTTGTTAAGTGTTTAAGATGTAAAATAAAAATTCAAAGAGAATATACATATAACAAGGGATAAATATAAATGTTGAAATGAAAATGCTTTTGTATGCTGATAAATCTCAAAGGAACTTTTCTAAACAGAGGAAAATGGTATGACTTCAACAATCTGAAATACTAGATATTTTAAGTTCATTCAGCTGCAACATACATTTTGAAATTTTCAGATACTACATATTTAACATTTTATTACTCCATCCAAGACCATTAATACTTAAGAAATGTAACTTTCATAAAGCAGTACATAAAAATGTTCTTTTGATTAAAACTGTACCTCCATTGCATAGTTCTGGAAGATATTTGTGTTACTTGTGTTGCAGGGAGATGCCACCTCTGATTTCCCAGGTAAGGCAAACTTTGACAGGGATCCTGTCCATTATTAAAAAACAAAGGGCGAAACCATTAAAACTAATGAGAAAGGATATGAGAATCTTTCACTTTTTTAAATTTTCTGATAAAATGTCACACTGTTCTACTCAAAATAGTAAAGGTAATTTAAGAAAAAAACACACAAATAAACAATGAAAAATGTTTTTTGTTTTTTTTGTTTTTTGTTATTTTTTAAAATATATTTTATTGATCTTTTACAGAGAGGAAGGGAGAGAGATAGAGAGTTAGAAACATTGATGAGAGAGAAACATCGATCAGCTGCCTCCTGCACATCTCCTACTGGGGATGTGCCCGCAACCCAGGTACATGCCCTTGACCGGAATCGAACCTGGGACCTCTCAGTCCGCAGGCTGACACTCTATCCACTGAGCCAAACCGGTCTCGGCGAAAAATGTTTTTCAATGTATATGTTTTTGTTTTGAGTGTAAACCTAAGGAAATGTACTCTAATTCCTGATTCTCACATGCTTTGTGTGTTCATCACTCACTATTAAGCACTTTATGTGTACAGAGTAGAAGGCATTCTAGCTGTTTGTAATTACTATTTTGCTATTTGTGTTTTTCCATGTTTAAAATACAAGAAAATATTTACGTATGGCAGCCCTTTACAGAAAAATGTACTGACCCCAGAAAATGTTACAAAGGAAACCAGAGAAGTATCAGAAGAAAACACTGGTGAACCTAGGGAAGGGGAAGTATTTCCTAATGATTCAAAATCCAGAAGCAAGAGAGGAAAAGACGGATAAATTTGATGACATACAATTAAAACCTTGTGACAAACCCCCCCCCCCCCACAAACTAGGAAAAAGTACCTGCCATTTACATAAGAGATAAAGCATTAATTCCTTAATATAACAAGAGCTACTAAAACATTTTAAATAAAGGACCAATAAGTGAAGTGTAGGCAAAGGAGAGTCCACAGAAAAAGAAATACAAATAGTCCTTAAACATATAAACAGATCCTCAGTTTAGTTCATAAAAGAAATATAAATGAAAACTAAACTGAAATACATTCCTCACCTATCAGATGGCAAAAATACAAAAGGTTGCCAACATATTTTACTGACAAGGCTCTGAGGAAATAGGTATTCTTATATTCCCATTGCCAGAGGGAATGCAAAATAGTATAGTCCCGAGGAAGGGAACTTGGCAATATCACTTCAAGGAATAATTTTGAAGTAGCTTTCAAAGTCCAGGCAAACTTATAATCTAACCGAATAAAAGAGAAACATGCAAATTGACTGTACCTTTGCCATGCCCAAGCCATGCCCATCAGCCAATCAGAGCGACTATATGCAAATTAATCCAACCAAGATGGCGGCCGGCAGCCACAGAGCTGGAGCAAGCAGGAGGCTTGCTTGCCCCGGCGATGGAGGAAGCCAAGCTTCCCACCTGCCCTAGCTGGCTGTGGCCTCCACTAAAGGCAACAAAGTTTCAATTATAGGAGCTAAATAAATCCCAGATACCTGCTTCCAGCCAGCCTCCACTGGGAGTTTGGGTGGCTGGGGGCCGTGGCCAGCCTGCAAACAGCCATTATCTCCTCACCCAGGTTGGCCAGGCACTCCAGTGGGGACCCCCACCCTGAAGGGACTGTGGCCAGCCTGCAAACAGCCATCAGCCCCTCACCCAGGCTGGCCACACCCTCATGGGGTGAGGGTCCCTGCTAGGGGGCTTGGCTGCCTGCAAACAGCCATCAGCCACTCACCCAGGCTGGCCACACCCTCATGGGGGTGAAGGTTCCCACTGGGGGCCTTGGCCATCCTGCAAACAGCCATCAGCCCCTCACCCAGACTGGCCAGGCACCCCAGCGGGGACCCCCACCCTGAAGGGGCTGTGGCCAGCCTGCAAACAGCCATCAGCCCCTCACCCAGACTGGCCAGGCACCCCAGCAGGACCCCCCACCCTGAAGGGGGTGTGGCCAGCCTGCAAACAGCCCTCAGCCCCTCACCCAGGCTGGCCAGGCACCCCAGCGGGTCCCCCACCCTGATCTGGGACACCCTTCAGGGAAAACCAGCCAGGCCCCACCCATGCACCAGGCATATAATAAAAGGGTAAGCAAAAGAAACCATCAACAAAACAACAAGAAAGCCAACTGCATGGGAGAACATATTCGCCAATGTTATCACTGATAAGGGTTTAATCTCCAACATTTATAGGGAACTCATACATCTTAACAAAAGGAAGATAAACAATCCAATCAAAAAATGGGCAAAGGACCTAAATAGACACCTTTCAAAAGAGGACATTCAGAAAGCCAAGAGGCATATGAAAACATGCTCAAAGTCACTAATCATCCAAGAGATGCAAATCAAAACAACAATGAGGTGTCATTTCACACCTGTCAGAATGGTTATCATCAACAAATCAACAAACGACAAGTGCTGGAGAGGATGCAGAGAAAAGGGAACACTTGTGCACTGCTGGTGGGAATGCAGAGTGGTGCAGCCACTATGGAAGACAGTATGGAGTTTCCTCAAAAAGTTAAAAATGGAACTCCCATTTGACCCAGTGATCCCACTTCTAGGAATATATCCCAAGAAACCAGAAACACCAATCAGAAAGGATATATGCATCCTTATGTTCATAGCAGCACAATTTACCATAGCAAAGATCTGGAAACAGCCTAAGTGCCCATCAGCAGATGAATGGATTAGAAAACTGTAGTACATCTACACAATGGAATACTATGCTGCTGTAAAAAGGAAGGAATTCTACCATTTGCAACAGCGTGGATGGAACTGGAGAGCATTATGCTAAGTGAAATAAGCCAGTCAATGAAGGAAAAATACCACATGATCTCACTCATTTATGGATAATAAAGGCCAGTATAAACTGATGAACAAAAATAGATACAGAGGCAGAGCAGCCTCGAACAGACTGTCAAACTATAGCCGGAAGGCTGGGGAGGGTTGGAGGGGGGGGGGGCAGTAAGAGATCAACTGAAGGACTTGTATGCATGCATATAAGCATAACCAATGGACATAAGACAGGGGGGTAGGGGAGGCCGGGGGATTGTCAAGGGGGCGGGGGGGGGGGAAAGGAGACATATGTAATACTCTTTGTAATACTTTAAGCAATAAAAAAATAAAATATAATAAAAAAAATAATGAAAGGGTAATATGCAAATGGACCCTAACAGCAAAACGCCTGGGAATGACTGGTCACTATGACACACACTGACCACCAGGGGGTAGACGCTCAATGCAGGCGCTGCCCCCTGGTGGTCAGTGCGCTCCCACAGGGGGACCTCTGCTCAGCCACAAGCCAGGCTGACGGCTGCCAGCACAGCAGTGATGGTGGGAGCCTCTCCTGCCTCCTCAGCAGTGCTAAGGATATCCGACTGCAGCTTAGGCCTGGTCCCCGCTGGCAAGTGGGCATCCCCCGAGGGCTCCTGGGCTGCAAGAGGGATGTCTGACTGCCAGTTTAGACTCGATCCCCCAGGGAGTGGGCCTAAGCCAGCAGGCGGACATCCTCCGAGGGGTCCCAGACTGCGTGAGGGCCCGGGCTGGGCTGAAGAACCCCCCCCCCCGCGAGTGCACAAATTTTTGTGCACCAGGCCTCTAGTTATTTATAATAGTCAAAGGCTGTAAACTTAATATCCATCAACAGAGAAGTGGTTAAAATAAAGTATGATACACTGACACATGATGACCTATGCAACCATAAAAATGAATGAGGGACAGTGTTATGTGATGATATGCAATGATCTATCGTTAAGTAAAAAAAAAAGGGGGGGAATGGCAAGGTATTTCTAGTAGGTTACCTTTTGAATAACAAGACAAGGAGGTAATAAGAATACACACACATGCACACATGGGCCTATTATTTTTTAAAAAAGCAACAAAGGAAGGATAAACCAAAATGAATAAAAATGGTTGGTTACCTCTAGTGATGGAGAAAACAAATGAAGGGGATGGGGATGGATACTAGGCTTCTCTGAAAATGCCTTGGTTCAATATTGTTTTGACTTTGGAGGCATGCAAATCTTGTACAAAAATAAAATATACAGGGAAAAAAAGTAAAGGTACCACCTATCAAATGAAATATGACAATACTGTCTGAACAAACCTTCTAGGGAGGCAGAACTTCCTAGGCTTGTTCTGCTGAAATCAATGCCCTTAGTCCTTGTGGTAGTACTGCACTCTTGGGAGGAAGTGGCTCCTTCCAACTCAGGGCCGGCATCTTCATCCGTTAAAGAGGTAGATTCAGAATCCTGGGCTCCCACTGAAGAAAGACTGGTACGATCAGAACTTTGATCCTAAGGACATAATTATAAGCTTACTTTCCTTCATATTTAGAGTATCATTTAAAAAGTCACTTCTAAGGCAGAGGAAGTACTTAATTACTCAGATGATCAGTTAATCAACATTACCAAAAAAAAAAAACCAAAACAAAAAATAATATTTTAGTAGTTTGCAATAGTAGTTGATAACTAGATTCTCTGAGGTAAAGAAAAACACATCTGAAAACTACTTTGTGCAAACTACTTTGGACCAACATGTGCTATAGATCAATTTTTAAGACAGCATTTTAAAATTAGATCAAAGTATCTGTTAGTAAGATAACCTTGCTAACTTTATAAATCTCTATTTATTGTTAATTTCCTCTCTGTGAATCTCAGCCCAGGATGATACCTTAGAAATACATTTTATTCTTTAAAATTTATGTTTACATTTTATTCTTTTTTTCACAATAATCCAGGCTATAAAGACATATATTTATAGTTTTCACTTTTGAGAACACCAACAATAATTTTTTTCTGTTTATACCATAATCCGTAGGAAAATCTACTAGATACAAATTTTTGTAGACAGAAAAAAATTAATATCTATAATTCTACTGCCCAGATAATACAATTTATTTTTTTCTAGTCAAGTATATGTTACTGAGTTGTTATTTATAAAATTATTTGAACATTTTTATGGGCTTTTTGGCTACATCTCATTGTTGCTGTTTTTTTAATCCTACTGGGCCATGAGTTGATGCTCAACCACTGAGCAACACTGGCTGGGCTATATTTGATTCTTTTAAATAAATAATTATCTGGTGAAATTTTCTAACTTGGGAGCTATTTTTTAAACCAATTTTATGTATTTTTTTGAACATAATTATTTCAAAGTCTCTTGCTATTCAAGTATTTGGATCTCCTAAAGATCTATTTCCAATATCTGTTTTTCTTTTGTTTTTTAGTTATGGTCTTGTCTCTTGGCATAGCTATTTTTAACTGAGCGACAGAATATAAAAAATTGTATGGACTCCAGATGTTGTTCTATTTCTCTAGAAAGGGTACACTTTTTCCTCTTTCTGATAAAGGCTGATTATTTTAATTTAACCACAGACTGAACTGAGTCAAGCCTGGGTTTCAGTTTTGGTCAGGCCCAGTCTACCTCCAGTTTGCCAATGCTCCTAAGGTATAGCTCTACAGGACTTCCAACTAAGGGCTTAGTATATTAACCAGCACCTCCACCCCCTTGCCCAGCAGTTCATGAACTCTAGCTATTATATTCCCAGTACCATAAAACTTCTTATCTGTCAGAGACTTTCTGCTTACCTTTTTTTTATATATATATATATTTTATTGATTTTTTTTTTTTTTTTACAGAGAGGAAGGGAGAGGGATACAGAGTATGAAAGATCGATGAGAGAGAAACATCGATCAGCTGCCTCCTGCACACTCCCCACTGGGGATGTGCCCGCAACCAAGGTACATGCCCTTGACCAGACTCGAACCTGGGACCCTTGGGTCTGTAGGCTGATGCTCTATCCACGGAGCCAAACCAGTCAGGGCTGCTTACCTTTTTTTAGCCTCCTGTCTTTTCAGCGTTTGGAAAATGCCTTGAAGGAAAAAAATTGTGTATTCGAAGACCCTCAAGTCTCCAATTTTATTTCTCTAGCTCTACATAAGATCTCCAAAGCTCTGCTGCCCCCTTCACCTCTCCATAGCCCTCTGATATGGCAAAGCTTGGATTTGCAAACTCTTGCTCTATGCTCAAAACAAGCAAATGACCTCAGGGAAAAAGTAGCTATAGAACTTCAGCTCACCTCTGCAAGTCTCCTCTCCCTAAAATCTTGTCCCTCTACTGTCTAATTGCTTCCGCAGTTCTCTGATGACTTTGAACAGCTACTTTCCATCTTTCATCTAGCTTTTTGTTCTTAGGAGGTATGTAGACAGCTCACAAGCTACTACACCCTAACCAGGAAAGCCCTATGCCTGGCTGGTAAGTTTTGAAGGCATGCTGGACACTGTCTGAAAAAAATGTTCATTTTGAAGGGAATAATGAAGTGAGCATTTTCAGATGACACTAACTTTTACTCTAGCAACAAACCACTTTCTTCCAAAATCTAACTATAAACATAACCTTAGTCAATTCTTTTCAAGTTTTAATTCTGATACTTACAAACCTCAGACATCTGAAGAATCCTTTTTCAAAACTGTGTTTAAGGAGAATGTAAAAAACAACCCCAGACATCTCTACAAGTAAGGGAATTTTGGTGGTGAAGGATAAAAGGAAAAGTAGAAAATACTAACAATACGTACCTTAGATGATGCGGTATACATGGTGAACCTTGAATACCATTTGCTTGCTTTCTCTGCAACGCCTTTTCCAGCAGTGAACATACTGTTCCTTAGAACATCCAGTTTAGGTACTAGTAGTGTATCTAAATTAAATGAAGGTGATGAATGGGTAAATGCATCTTGAGTTTCTTCCCTAAATGGGCAAGAAGGTGAGAAGGCAGGAGAAGACCAGAGTCTATCCCTTGGTCTGTCTTCATTTTTTGTATAACTTTTAGATTTGGTAAGTCTCATTGGCCTAGGAGAATTAGGAGGCAGGCTAGATCTTCTACACGCCTTGACCAATGTTGGACTTTTCTTATCAGTTAATTTATCATCATATGCCCGTTGTAAATCAATGCTTGGTGTCCGACTTGTCAGAGGACTGGTCATGTTATTCATATACATCACGATTTCTTCAGCTAAATCACGCCTAGCAGATGGTGTTGAAACGCTTTTGGTTTCATCTTCATCTTCTTCCTCCTCTTCTTTTTGCTGCTGCTCAGTCTCAGCAACCAAAAGAGAGAGGGGATCAAATCCTGTTGCAACATCAGTTTTTTCAAAAGGTTTTACTGAAAAGCTGCTATTCATACGTTGAATCCTTTTGGGATTTTGTGTGGCAACATATCCCATTTTTGACCCATAGGTTTCATTGTCTAAATCTTCTAAGTCAAAAATTACTGGAGAATCCACTTTATCTGCCAAACAATTAGAACCATCAAAAGGTGTGTCATCATCACTAGATTCCTTTTCTAGACTATCTCTTTTTGATCGTAAAGATGGACTTCCAATATCAAGACTATTTGGTCTTTTGCTTTTTGAGATAACATGTGAAAGAATTTTTGCATCAGCTCCTAATTTTTCAACCATATCTCCAGGGTTTGCATCCTGGTTAATTCTATTGAGCATAAGTCCCATCATTACTCCTCCACTATGATTGCGGTTTCTATTTCCCCAGGACATTTGCTGCTGCAAATTAGGTTCACTGCCATTTTTATCTCTTTTCCTGAAGCATCTACTTTGAATGTTTCCTGCTTCATTTGTATTCTCAAATGATGATATTAAGAGTGGCTCAGATGTGCTTTCTGAAAAACAAGAAAAGTTTTAGCCATAAAAAATGTAATGTGCTATTATAAGTTGTCTTAAATATTTAAATACTAATAATGAAAATGATAATAGTAAGCACTCATCAAGTGTCTGCTATTTGACTGATACTATACTATGTACTTTACTTACATTGTCTACCCATAATTATTCCAACATCCTTATAGCTTGAGAGAGATTAATTATATAGCCCAAAGTTATCCAGTCCTTAAATGACAGAACTGGGATTAAAACCCAGATTTGACGAACTATAAAAGGTATACTCCTAGATGTTAGACTGCACTGCTTTTTAAAACTTATAAATTAAAATTAATATTTACTCATGGTATACTTAATAATATTATCCTATATAATTAAAGGCTAAAATGCAAATCGACAGAATGGCGGAATAACCAGTCACTATGATGTGCACTGACCACGAGGGGGCAGACACTCAACGCAGGAGCTGACCCCTGGTGGTCAGTGTGCTCCCACAGGGGGAGTACCACTCAGCCATAAGCCAGGCTCATGGCTGCTGAGCTCAGCGGCAGTAGTGAGAGCCTCTCCCGCCTCCGCGGCAGTGCTAAAGACCCCGGAGGGTTCCCAGACTGCTAGAGGGAGCAGGCTGGGCTGAGAGATCCCCCCTCCAGTGCACAAATTTCGTGCACCGGGCCTCTAGTTGTTAATAATATTCATGTTAATTCCACTACATTGATTAAATAACAATAGTTACTACAATTATGGTTGTATTAGATGACCTTAAAAATCTGAGTATTCTGCCTATAAAAATGAAAAACCAAACCAATTAAAGGCAGCTGTGATAGTTTTATCCACAAAAAATTATTATTATTTTATATGTTTTTATTGATTAAAAAGAGAGGAAGGAAAAGGGGGAGAGAAATAGAAACATCAATGATGAGAGAGAATCATCGATCAGCTGCCCCTGCATGGCCCCTACTGGGGATCAAGCCCACAACCCGGGCATGTGCCCTGGCTGGGAATCTAACAGAGACCCCCTGGTTCATAGGTTGATGCTCAACCACTGAGCCACATTGGCCGAGCAAGCATTACTATATTAATAAATATAAAATAATATATAAAAAGCACTTTAAAAAGAAAAAATATTATGTATTGGTATCTAAACAATTTGAAGGACTATCCTTTTGCCCCTGAAAAACCAGGAACAATGTCTTCATTAAGCTTATAAGCTTAATTTAAAAACTGGCGAGGTATACTGTACTCTCAGACTGATCATCTCAATTGCTCCCACTTCCCCCTTCCCAAAAGTCCCAACAGTCCAAACTCAAAATATAGTATGTAGCTTGTAAGTTTGTCCCTATACTTTCTTATAAAAACTTGAATAAAGTATATTATAAAATACAGAATTCAAGCTACTAAACTATACTATGTGAGGATGCACAAATATATAAAAAATAATCCTGGAGAATGAACACTTAAAAAAATAAATATTTACTAGAAATACAGATACAAGATATACAGCACATAACAGAGGTATACTATTCAACTTACCTGTGCCTTCTGCCGATATTTTATCAGCACTGTTGTTATTTGTACCACTGAGGCGAACTATACTGGAAGAACTTTGATAATTGAGCTTAGGAAGACAATCAGCACTTCCTTTTGCACTCTCACTCTCTGATACTGTAAAGATTAAAATGAAATTGGTAAGATGAAAACTATATGCATCATATAAGGCATAAAAAGAAGTAGCTTTTAGTTCTAAATATTTCTCCTCCAAATGGGTAATAAGAAATTATCAAATACCTCTGTATGAATTTGTCAATCACAAGTAATTACACTGATCTGAGGTCTTAAGGTCTATATCAAATTACTATGTACTGGTTATGAATGAGGTCCATGCATACATTTTATATCACTTCTTTGGTTGTAAAACACTGTTTTCAATGGGAAGAGGCAAGGGTGAGAATATAAGCAACAGACCATTAATAAAAGCATTAAATAAAAATATTGTTAAACCTCAGGAAAGAGCCACTGTTTGGCCCTGGCCATGTGGCTCAGTTGGTGGGAGCATTGTAGACCAAAAGGTTTCAGGTTTCAAACCTGGTCAGGGCACCTACCTAGGTTTCGGGTTTGATTCCCAGTTGGGGCGCATACAGGAGGCAACTGATTGATGTTTCTCTCTCACATCAAAGTTTCTCTCTCTCTCCCTCCTTGTTTTCTAAAATCAATAAAAACATACCCTCAGGTGAGGATTAAAAAGAAAGATTCACTGTCAGAAGAAATAGATTTCTATTACAAGAAGAATAGTATTTACTAGTAATTTGAGAGTGGTTGTGCCACTAAAACTATACACTTCACACATGAAGATTTGTATGTTGGAATATTAAGTGGTAGAGAGAGCTTGTAATGGGAGGAAAGAGGAGTTATAATAGGAAAGTGAAAAATAAAATTAGTACTTTTATACCGAAAGCCAGTTGTATTTATTATTAATATAAGCCCACAATTTTATACAATATCAACTTAATACCTACAGGAACTAGAATCACTCCCTTTCTTATCTTTTTCTTCTTGAATGTCTTCAGTAGATATATCTCCTCTTCTAACTTCATCTTTGGATAATGAATTATATCCAAGATCAGACTGGCCACCTAGGAAAAAAAAATCCATATGGTGTTTATCATAAACTTCTTTACTGAGAAATGGAATTAGGAGCAACGCATTACTATTCCGATTTACTTATAGGAATTTTTCTGGATAACTTTCAATTGGAAGCATTATTTTGTTAGATTCCATCCCCCATCTCTATTAAAGTAAGAAAGGGATAATCTCAAAATAATTTATATTTTGCTCCATGCTGTAGTCAAAAGCATATATATGCACACTACTAGCTGGGTTCCAAAAAACAAAGACAAACCGGACATTCTTTATACAAGTCCATGACCTTTCTAGTAAAAGTCTGAGTTCCAACTAAGCAATGAAGAAAAATCTGCAGGGAATTCATAACAGAGCCTTCACATACAGGAAGCTGAATGTCTAAATACTTTTACCAAAAAAAAAAAAAAAAAAAAAGGGTTTATGTAAGTTTATAAATAGGTAATTACTTTTTCTGAAAATTCAATTGAATACCAAATTGCACTTAAGTACAAATACATGGGAATGAGAAAAAGAACATGTTAAAGTTATTTTTAAGAAATGCAAAAGTTGCATTGATACAAAAAAACTTCTAATACACACAGTTGTTATGATTATATGAGAAACTATATATGGAATGGTTTAAATACTTGTAAAGATCTATCTAAGGAAACTTTACTAATATTACTAGGTATTGAATACAATTGTTATACTTTTGAGTTTGTACTTTTAGTAATCAATTTTTCAGCTCTATTCCCAAAGAAATAAGTTAAAAATGTGAAGATAATCTTGAAATTCATGCTCTTATTAGGTCCTGTACTGTTTTAAGATAGTCTTTTTTTTTTTAAAAGGCCATAGTTAAAAACAAAAAATAGACTCCTTCATTTTTAAGAGATAATGTCTGAGGTTGACTGCAATGGCTAATTACTATAGTCACATTGCATAATTAATAAAACCAGCCCCGTAAAAAACAACTATGAAAATTACATTTCAACACAATTAGCTTATATTTATATTTTTAAAGGCAGGCATAAAAGGAGACGAGCCAAAATGTTACTGTTTGCAGAGATAGTAAAACTTTGTATTTTATGCCTTTATAGTAGCCTTTATATTTTATTAATGGAGTTTTAAATTTAAAATTTCTGTCTATTAAGAGGTACCTCTTATACTTAAAAAGCATATGTACATTTTTAATGTAATAATAAAAAGGACAGAATTATTCAAGTAATTTATTTTTAAAATATTTCAGTTTTAATATTAGAGAAGGCTATGTACAAATCTATTTTAATGAAATTAATGCCACCTTCAGTGCTAGAATGCTAGAAATTTTATATATACTGAAATTATTTATTTGTAACTTTTAATTTTAATACTAGAGGCCCAGTACACAAAATTCCTACACTGGGCTGGAGGGGTGGTCCCTCAGCCTGGCCTGCACGCTCTTGCAGTCCGGGAGCCCCCAGGGGATGTCTGACAGACAGCTCAGGCCTGCTCCTCGTGGGGGAGTGGGCCTAAGCAAGCCAGCATTCAGACATCCTTAGCGCTGCCATGGAGGCAGGAGAGGCTCATGTCACCGCCGCTGCGCTAGGCTTCTGGCACTCCCCCTGTGGGAGTGCACTGACCACCAAGGGGCAGCTCCTGCATTGAGCATCTGCCCCCGGTGGTCAGTGCATGTCATAGTGACCAGTTGTTCACCGTTGGGTCGATTTGCATATTAGCCTTTTATTATACAGGACAGTTTAAGACTCACAAGGAATCCTACCTAATAAAGAGGAAATATGCTAATCAACCATAACAACCTCACAAGATGGTGATGCCCACAGCCACAAGATGGTGGCACCCAGTCCCCTCAGCCCCGCCTCATCCAGCTGGGGTCCCCCAGTCCCCTCAGCCCTGCAGGGAAGGGCAGTTGGGGACGATCATGCCAGCAGGCTAGCAGTTAGGCGTCAATCAGGCCGGCAGGGGAACAGTTAGGGGGCTATCAGGCTGGCAGGCAGAGTGGTTAGGGGCAATTAGGCAGGCGAGTGATTAGGAGCCAGCAGTCCCGGATTGTGAAAGGGATGTCTGACTGCAGGTTTAAGCCTGATCCCTATGGACATCCCCTGCAGTCGGACATCCCCTGAGGGGTCCCAGATTGGAGAGGGTGCAGGCTGGGCTGAGGGACACTCCCCTCCCATGCACGAGTTTCGTGCACCGGGCCTCTAGTTATAAAATAATACAGTACTGAGAAAGTTCCTGTGTACCCTTTACTCAGCTTTCCCAATAATAATATCTCATATGAAACAGTAAATTGATGTTGATATGGTACTATTAACACAGATCAGAGATATAAGTTTCTTTTTTTAAAACTCTAAATTTTCATAATTACAAAGAACTTATCCTATAAAATTGATATGAAGAGATATGTGTGCTATTCAAAGTTAATTGGCTTATCATGGACTAAATACTTGAATAAATTCTTAAACTTTTATTTCTAGTCAAATAAAGAATGAATAAAATTGCATACAGTTATTAAATGCAACATCAAATACCTAATATATAAAATTAAAAAATGAGTTGAATACATCATTGAAAAGTAAAATCCTGAAAAGACCAGAGAGCAAATCTAATTTTTAAAATGTACTTTAATATATGTATACATAAGCACAAACAAACCTGTACTAGATCTATCATCAGTAGCATATACTTTGATTAAACCCGTATTAAAAGGTGCCTGCTCCACAGTGTGTGTCCCATGACCACTATCCATGCTGCCATGACTAACAGCATCCAGGTCACTGCCATCTGCTTAAGAACACAATTTGACAGCATTTTACTACTCAGGGAGATACCAAAAACACACATCAGTTTGTTGCTCAAGCTAATATCTACTAATACTGAATACAAAAAGTGCCATATAATTAGCAAATCCAATTGTAACAAAGAACCCTATTGTGAATCATTAACGAATACTAAACGAGACCACCAACAGTTGATAGTATAAGTTACAAGAAAAAAAGTAAAATTTTGTGTTTTTAAATGTGAAGAATACTCCAATCAGAATTTGCTTAATAGCAATAAAAACTAGACAACATTCAGTAACTTGAAAGTATTTAAAATTTCTAAAAAATGTAAAGTATAACTAGTCAATTAATTTTAAAGAAAAAAATTAAACACATATATACTTAAAAATCTTTAATTACCTGAGAGAGTTGTTTGTGATAAGCGTGCATGTTTCTTTAAAGTTCTTTTGAACTGTGCTACTCCTAAAACAACGTTTCTTAATTTTGTCCAAAGATAATAGCCATTATGACTTCGTGAAGGCCAGGTACTTTCTAAAACAGCCTATTTGTTAAAAAAAATAAAATAATTAGTATAATAATTTTTATAAATGAACACATTGGCTTTAGATTCAAACTAAAGAATATCTAAGTAGATTGTATAACATAAAATAGCACAAAAATTTTTCTTGATTTACAAAATATATTTTAAATACTCTAAAATAAATGTCAAATAAACCCTGCATCAACAACTTCTGCCATTAAATTAAGATTGTATAATCACAAAAGTTATACTCTTTCTCCATGAAATAAAAGTAATTACCTTATTATAATAACCATAAGTAATGGCATTGGGGTCAATACCAGCTTTCCGCATTTCGAAAAGCACTCGAACTGCAAGCACTGGCTGATCATATTGTCCACAGAGCTGCATAAGAATGCGGTAGCACACCTGAAACACAGTAAATTCAAAAGTGTACAGAAACAAAACACCTATGTCCATAAATATAGAAATAAGTCATTTTAAAGATAATTGTTACCTCATCAGGTGGATCCATCTTCTTTGACTGCATTTTTTTAAGCACATCATATGCTGTTTTCAGTGCCCTGACTTTTGAATGACATACTTTCACATAAGCTGGGAGACAAATAAACCATAGTCCGTAACAGTGACGCAGCAGACACCTAGACCACATCTGAGGAATGGAAGAGTACCGTTTGGCAATTTTATGGGCTGATTTAATTTCCTAGGGAAAAATGCAAAGATCTCATTAATTAATTTACACACATGGCATCCTTATTTAACTGTGTGTTGAACAGGTATAAGTCACTTGCTTTTATAATGTTTCCCTAATAAAATCTGCTTGTAATTAATATATATTCAAGCCTCTGCTTGAATTTGTATTATATCATATCTGTAATAATAAAAGCGTAATATGCAAATCAACCGAACGACCGTCCGGCAGTCCTTCCGGATGACCTTCCAGATGAAGCTGGGGCTACAGCCACAGGATGGAGGCAGTCGCCCTGGCTGCGAGGGAGGGATCGAGGCAGCCGCCCCAGCTGCGAAGGCCTACTCTTGCACAAATTTCGTGCATTGGGCCTCTAGTATAAAATAGAGTTCTAGAACTAGTTAATTTTTTGAAGTCCACTTACTCTAAATTATCTTCAGAATGTTTCAGGGAGCTTAATCTAGTCACAGTTACATATGAGGTGGTAAAGTATATTAAGGGAGGATAAGTGTCATATTTACTTTTGTTCTAATATTCGATTACATGAAAAATGCAAAATTTTCAAAGCACCTGTTTTGTTCTTCTGAACATAGGAGAAGGACTACTAGGACTACTTGATTTTGAAGGCAATTTGCTCTTTTGTGTTTGTAGAAATCCATCAGGTCTCTCAAATAAACTGTTCCTAAGAACTGGAAATCCATTATAGCTGTTTTTGAAAAGAAAAAGAAAACTTCAAGCACACATAGATTATATCATACTGGTTACATGCTAAAAAAATGTATGACCAACAATTTATCCTATGTTTCTCCATCAGACTAGAATATATACTCAACAAATATTCATGCTGATGTTGCTTTTCTTATTATAATATTTAGAAATGTAATAGCCAAACATAAACTCAAATATATATTTTGGAGGAAAAAATTTTGCTGAATTGACATTAAACTACAAAGTAACTCAAGTACTTTGGTAGTATTCGTGTAAATATATAGCAAACTTATCAGATAATATGACAGTTGGTAAAGGGCCCACCAAATCAATACTCTTTCAAACAGGACAGTCATTAATATCACTGCTTTGAATTAACTAATTACTGCAGAACCTCCCTCTTAAAAAGATGTAAATAACAGTGCTTGCTTCAGCAGCACTTATACTAAAACTGGAACGATACAGAGAAGATTAGCATGGCCCCTGAGCAAGGATGACATGCAAATTCATGAAGCATTCCATATTTAAAAAAAAAAGATGTAAATAACATATTAGCACACCAGAACAAGCTCTCATATTGTCATGAATTGGTTTATCAGGTTAGCTAGCAGGTTCAGGCCTCATTTACACGAAAGAAAATTGAAGAGGTTGGAGAAGAGGAAGAAAAGATTAGACTAGGTAGCTCTATGAGGAGGTGGGTTTAATTTGGGTGCTAGAGGAACGTGTTTGGGCATTTAAAGGATAGCAGCAGCTAAGAAAAAGACATACTGAAAAGAACAGAAGGAGCCCCTGAACAGCAAACTTAACCTACTTTATAATATTCTTAAAGGCATAAAATAGTTTTAATTAATGACAAAGAAAACAATAATAAAAGATGGCAAACTATATCAATTATATATAAGCAAATTCAGTTGAATAATAAAATATTGGTAAGGACTGAATGTTAAATAGCAATCAAATATCAAAGTTCAGGAAAATCCCGACCCTTAAAAATTCTTTGTATGTACATGGTGTGATAAGACCATTCTGTGTATCCTGTGGAAACTTATTGCCTTATCATTTTATATAGAAAATCTAAGTATATGATCATCTCTTATTAAGAGATCAGACTGTGCTCATTAAAGAAATTTAAATTGTTTCAAATAATGGGGATGACTACACCAAAATTATACTGGGCAATCTCAAGGGGGAAAAATGCCTTAGCTTCTTTAAAAAATGGGAACTTTTTAAGCTAAGTAATTTTCTTATTAAAGGACTAAATCTTAAAGTAAAATTTTAATTAAAAAGTTAAAACCAAACCCCCAAAACCCCCCAAAAGTATTAGTAAACATACCAAAAGGAGTCTTAGAAATATCATGTACAGCCCTGGCTGGTTAGAGTGTCAGCCCTCTCGCACAAAAGGATTTCGGATTCGATTTCAGGTCAAGGGCACGTACTTGGGTTTTGGGTTCGCTCCCTGCCACTGAACAGGGCATGTTTGGAATGCAACTGATTGATGTTTCTCACATTGATGTTTCTCTCTCTCCCTCTCTCTAAAAATCAATAAAAAATGTCCTCAGGTGAGGATAAAAAAAATAAAATAAATAAGTGAGCCTGGCTAGTGTGGCTCAGTGGTTGAAAATGTCAACCTATGAACCCAGAGGTCACAGTTCGATTCCAGGTGAGGCACATGCTGGGTTTCAGGCTTGATTCCCAGTAGGGGGCATGCAGGAGGCAGCCAATCAATTCTCTTTCATCATTGATGTTTCTAACTCTCTCTCCCTCTTCCTTCCTCTCTGAAGTCAATAAAAATATATGTATTTTTTAAAATGATATGAATAACATCATCAATAGATGTAAAGGGCTGGAATCAAGTGAACTATGAATATTTACAAAGATCAGTTACACCACTTTTTCAAATTTAATAATTTGGGTTATAAATAAGGATGTCCTGAAAAATCCTTTTTTAAATAAAAATAACAAACTGTGACTTAATGAATGATAGGTGAGAAATGGTTTTAGAATCTTTAAATAAAGTAAGGAGTGTTATTAGAGAAGAAATAAATAATTTAAAATCTAAAAGGAAATACTATTTTAAGTAAAAATATATACTAGAAACTAACTATCGTATATACCAAATGTATATGTACAAAATATATCTAGATAGATAGATGTATAATAAATCTACCTCTATTAGAACTTTTTTTTAGACTTGAAGACAGGAACTATGTGTCATTCAAGTCTAAAAACCAAGCACTTAGAAGCATCTGGCCAAATTTCCTAAATTAATAACCACCAATTCCAATAGTTCTGAATCTCCTTGACTTAAAATAAAAAAGCATTGCCGAAACCGGTTTGGCTCAATGGATAGAGCGTCGGCCTGCGGACTGAGAGGTCCCAGGTTCGATTCCGGCCAAGGGCATGTACTTGGGTTGCGGGCACATCCCCAGTGGGAGATGTGCAGGAGGCAGCTGATCGATGTTTCTCTCTCATCGATGTTTCTAGCTCTCTATCTCTCTCCCTTCCTCTCTGTAAAAAATCAATAAAATATATGTTTAAAAAAAAAAATAAAAAATAAAAAAGCATGGAATAATTAATAACCTAAAAAAATTACACATTAACCAATGTGTGTGTGTGTGTGTGGGGGGAGGTTGGGAGTGAGGAAACCAGCTTTAGTGAGAAACAAAAATCAACATTTTATAATAAAAATGCTGTATTTTGGTGGGGGTAGAGTCCTAACTGAATGTAATCAACATTTATGAGAACAGATACTTATGCAGATATAGAACTTCCCATTCCCAAGTCTATATTATGCTAAATTATAATTTTTTTCTTTTTAGACCTCAAAACTTAATAATGGATGTGGGATAAGCTTGCTTACCACCTAAAAATTAGGGATCTGTAAAGTTTGGATTTTTGAAAATACCATTCCTTAGAAAGCTACATCACAGATGATGGATTGCTTCTCTCTTTCAATCTCAAACATTCGCCTCTTGAATACCTGTACTGTAAAGGGGGTTCTTCACCATTGGGTAGATGGGGGATCTCAGGTGGTGTTACAAAAACAGTATGTTCACTTTTGAAAGATTCATCCAGTTCTATAAGCCGCATTTCACCACTTTTGTCCATATCCACCTGAAGGAGTTTTAAAAAAGCATATATTAAAAAAACACACCCTACAATGGTTAGCCAAGTGTTCATCTATAGGGGAATGGTTAAATAAATCATGTATACAACTCAGTACTATAGAGCTATTAAAAAAAAAAAGAATGAGCAAGTTGTCTATGTATGACTATAGAAAGATCTCCAAGATAATTAAGTGGAAGTAACAAGCTGCAGAGCATTGTATATAGTGAACTAATTTTTGAGTAAGAAAGAAGGAGTCCTGGCCAGCATTGCTCAATGGTTAGAGTCATAGGTTCGATTCCCTATCAAGGGCATGTACGTGGGTTGCAGGTCTGATTTCCACCCCTGGTTGGGGTGGGTGTGGGAGGCAACAAATCAATCTTACATCAATATTTCTCTTTCTTCTCTCTCTGTCCCTCTGCTTCCTCCTTTCCACTCTAAAAATCAATGGAAAAAAGATCCTCACTCTTTGGGTGAGGATTAAAAAAAAAATAAAAAAGAGGGAAAAACAAGAAAAAAAAACATATAAATAATATACACACACACTAGAGGCCTGGTGTACGGATTCATGCACTGGTGGGGTTACTTGGCCTGGCCTGCAGGGATCGGGCCGAAACCAGCCCAATGCATGGATTTGTCCAGGGCGTGTCTGGCCCGTCTTGCCCAGTCCCGATTAGGGCCGCATTGCCCAGTCCTGATTGGGGTTGGGGATGGACCATGGGAGGGCTCCAGGGCATGTCCGGCCCCTCTTGCCCAGTCCCAATCAGCTGGACCCCAGCAGCAAGCTAACCTTCCATTCGGAGCGTCTGCCCCCTGGTGGTCAGTGAGCATCATAGCGACTGGTCAAATGGTCGAATGAACGGTCAGACACTTAGCATATTAGGCTTTATTATATAGGATTTTTTGTTTGTATGCACATAAAGAAATACTGAAGAATACCAAGAAAAGTAATTATCTATATGGGGGAGGGGAGATGAATGGAGTGAACAAGATGGGACAAGACCCAGATTTCCCAATGTATATGTTTTTATATTATTTTGAATCGTGGGGATGCATTCAAGAAATAATTTTTAAAATGCACACATAGCCCTGGCCAGTCTGGCTCAGTTGATAGGGCACTGTTATTCCATGTACCAAAAGACTGCAGGTTTGATCCCAGGTCAGGGTGAGTGGTTGGGCGCATGTACAGGAGGCAACTGATTGATCTTTCACATCAATATTTCTCTCTCTCTCTCTCTCTCAAATCAGGTGAGAATTTAAAAAAAATACAAATAGGCAGGGTATCAAAAAAATATCTTCAATGTACTCTTTCTCACTAAGCAGCTGGAAGATGTGCTCCACCATAACAAAGAGGTAAACCAAGAAAGAAGCTACTGAAGCCAGAAAGCAACAACTCCAGAGAGAGGTCAATATAATTCCAGGATGATGGTGAAGGAAAATCCAGGATGACAGAGTAAAAAGCAATCAGTTCATATTGGAACAAAAAGATGGAATGCTCCAGCAAAAATTTTAGAACAATAAAATGGATATGTTAGAAAAATTGACAGATTTAAACATTTTCACTTTTGTAGAAGACTTTAGAAATGAATTAACATTAGACACAAAGGAAGGAACATAGTAATTATTAACTTCAGGGAAAACAAAATCCATACATGAAAGGCAATTCAATTATAATGTATATGGCTTAGCTGTGATTATATACAAAGTGGCCAAAAATAATGTTATGACTACACTGGGAGGATTGTGGTGTTGGTGGTAGACATTAATTAGCAGCAATAAAACCATATTATTTGGAAATCTTAAGGTAAATGACTGAAGATATAGCTGAAAGAGAAAGTGGTGGTCTCTGGGGAGCAGAAACTAGGGTAGAAAGGAATGGGACCTAGCCTTATAAAAGTACTAGAGGCCCAATGCATGAAATTCGTGCATGGGTAGGGTCCCTAGGCCTGGCTGGCGATCAGGGCCGATCTGTGGGGCAACTGGCAGGATGATTGGGGGGCCCTCCACTGGCACCTGCCTTGGCTGGCCTGGCACCGCCTGCTCACCGGCCCTGCCCTCCGCTGCCACCCACTTGCCGGCCTACCCCATCACCTTCCCCCCACCCCCGTCACCAGTCACCTTCCTCTGGTTGCCTCCCTCTGTGGGGTGACCAGCAGGGCAACTGGGGGTCCCTGCTGGCACCTGCCTTAGCTGGCCTGGAGCCTGTGGGCTGGGGGCAGCTCCTGTGTTGAGCGTCTGCTCCCTGGTGGTCAGTGCGCATCATAGTGACCGGTCATTCCGCCGTTCGGTTGATTTGCACATTAGGCTTTTATTATATAGGACTGACTTTCTAAACTATGTTATGTTTTACTGTGGTAAAAATGAAAATTTTCTTTTAAGAGATTTGGCAGCAATATTAAGAATGCTTAGCCCTGGCTGGTGTGACTCAGTTGGTTGGGCGTCATCCCCTGCACAGAAAGGTTGCTGGCTCAATTCCTGGTCAGGGCACATGCCTGGCTTGTGGGGCTCAATCCCCAATAAGGGGCATGCAGGAGGCAGTCGATCTACATAGATATTTCTCTCTTTCTGTCCTTCTCCCTTCCTCTCTCTGTAAAATATCAATGAAAATGTTTTTGAAATATGCTTATAAGATCTGGTTATGTAAAAAATTAGGAAACCATGTTATAATTATGTAAAAACACTGACAGTAAGTGTAAAATGGATATTAGTTAGGGTACTGGGCTTACAAAGTTTTTCTCCCTTTTATTTTCCACAAAATTTAATAAAAGTGTTAAAAAGTTAAACTTTCAATAAAAACAGAGAACATTATAGCAAGCCTAAAAATATAAAAACCACATTAGGAACATGTCAGGGATAACTCATAGTGGTAACCTGTCAATGATAAATTATATCAAATGAATAACAAATGAAAAGCTCTATTTACATACATTTTTTTTATTCAGAGGGAGTGGGTTTAATCAAATTATAAGGGAAGCAATGATAATGAAATAGAAAAGATGGACTAGAACAAAAAGGTTTAAACAGATACCCAAGGTAATTGGAAAGGAAGCTGAAAACTACTCCTATCCATGATGGAACATTATAAGAGAAGTGCCTGTCAATGAGCACCAGGTGTTTTAAAAATTTTATTTACTTATTTAACAGCTTCTCCCTCTCCAGATCAGGGCCTACTTCTTACTCTCCAGCCACTTTGCATAAAAAACACCTGTGGACAAGGAAAACTGCTCTAATTCTCAGTACGTACTATAAAGACTATTAAAACAAGTTCTTGGTACAATGCTGTAATGAAGACAAAATTGTCAAGGAGCTATGACATTGCTTCTCAAAATAAGCAAGGTTTCAAAGCTCTATATAGGCAGAGGTCAACTTACAAAAAGGCACGGTTCTAAAAGTTCATTTGTAAGTAAGTTATTCAAAATATAGAAAATAAATCTCCCCTCCCCCCAAAAAAATCCTTCCTGAGAAATATTCTACATTTGGAGTCATGATTGCATGGAAATCTATATTTGCCAAAACTTATCAAACTCTAAATTTCAAAGGCATATATATATATGTATATATATATATATATATATATATATATATATATATATGCCTAAACAACCATTATGACTGAACAACTAGAACGACCGGTCAACCAGTCACTATGATGCACACTGACCACCAGGGGGCAGGTGCTAAATGCAGGAGCTGCCCCCTGGTGGTCATGCGCTCCCACAGCCAACCTCCTGTGGCCCCACCCCCCGGCCGACTTGCCAATCTCCCATGACCCCTCCCCCTGACTGGCCAACCTCCCACAACCCCTCTCCCTGGCTAGCCACCCCCACCCCACCCCCCATAGGCCTCGATCACAGGCCAGGCCAAGGAACCCCACACATGCATGAATTTGTGCACCAGGCCTCTAGTGTTGATATATTATATCTAAGAATTTTGATTTTTTAAAAACTGCCCTAAAAGGCAGTTAGAGTACCATCCCATCAAAAATAAAAATTTAATACATATTTCTAGCACAACACTGTAGCACCATTTGAACTACAGCTAATCACCCTTTATTTCAGTGTTTTTATGGTAAAATGAATTGAGTTCTAAGCAGATAATGGCATATGTCCATGGTTTTCCTATTTCAAAGCATTTCAAGGACTTCAAGACCTTAGCCTTTTAACTCTCTATCAACACCAGAAAGTACTTCTCTACATCAACCATCCCTCAAGTTTTATAAAGTTAAGGAAAGGGTATATATATGCCTACACAAGGCTCCAAACTTGTTACTGCTCTCCATATGTTATTCAAAAGCTGAACATTGTCACGAGATGATAAAATGAGATGAGCTGGTTTTACTAACCTAATAAACTCGAATAAAAGCCAGCAAGATTAGTGGAATCTAATGAACAAAATAAACTAGCAAACAGAATAGAAACAGATTCATAGATACAGAAAACAGACTGTCAGCTGTCAGAGGGGAGGGGGATTGGGGGGCTGTGTGAAAAAGGAGGACTTAAGCAAAAAAACCCACACACCAAAAATCAGACACAGACAACAGTATGGTGATTGCCAGAGGGAAAGGGGGATGTGGGAGGAGGAAGACAGCATTGGGGGATAAACGGTGATGGAGATTTTCTTTGGGTGCTAAGCGCATGATGCGGTATTGTAGATGATGTTTTATAGAACTGTACACTTGAAACCTGTATGGTTTTATTAATCAATGTCACCCTAATAAATTCAATAAAAAATAGTCACAATGCCTTCTACTTTTTAGTTCATACAATACTACTCTGAACACTGTGAGACATGCAGTTATAATAATTTCTCCTCACAATATTAAAAAAAACACACAGATAAGAAAACAACACAGAAACACTAAAGGACTTGACTAAAGTGCAAGTGTAATAGCTGGGGTGAAAGTTCTCCTGATTCCCAATGCAGTGTTTATCCCATTACACCCTTCACAGTGAGTATAAGTTCTCATTTTTATAGGACACATTTGGTACTTAATTCATAAATGACATTTTCATGTTAAACTCAGAACTAAGCCAACTTCTGAATATTTTGGCTGTTGTGCCCCCCCACCCAAATCACTGATTTTCTTTCACAGTCACATAAATTGGAAAGTGATGGACTTCTTTAAATTACCTTATCAGTATAAATTGTTGAAAAAAATAATTTCTTTTTTCTACTGTCACGGGCATAAAACCATGAATACACACACACACACACACACACACACACACACACACACACATATAAAAGGCTAAGCGACCGGACAACTGACAGGTAGGTATGATGCACTCTGACCACCAGGGGGCAGATGCTCAATGCAGGAACTGCCTAGTGACGGCAACTTTGCAGAGTGCCGTCTGGCACTCCAGGACCCCTGGCGGATGTTGGACTGCCCATTTTGGCCCGACCCTGCAGGCCAGGCCGAGGGACCCCATCTGCTGGAGGGACCCCACCTGCTGGAGGGACCCCACTCACTCTGCAGACACCCTTTGAGCCATGGCACCTCCCAGGTGCGGCTGTCTGGGGAGGGACCATGGGAGGTTGGCTCCAGGGTGTGTCTGGCTCAACTCGCCCAGTCCTGCCCCACAGGCCACCTTCTAATTAATTTCCTTTCAATGTGCACAAATCTGTGCACTGGGCCTTTAAAAAAAAATATATACACACACACACACACACACAAATTTATAGAAAAGTTTCAAGTACACTAACTTTTCAAATACAAATAGCTTTTTTCCTCTTAATATTTTGAGAGAAAGTTGCTGACCTGATGACCCATCACGTCTGAATACTTCAGTGTGTACTTCCTACAAAAAAGGACATTCTCCTATATAACTACAATACATGAATCTGGAAATTAACATTTATACTGTCTAATACTCAAACTACATTTGAATTTTGTTGATTAGCTTAATAATGTTATATCAGAAGCATCCAGTTCTAGCCCTGGCTAGTGTTTCTCAGTGGTTAGAGTGGTTGGCCTGAGCACCAAAGGGTCACAGGTTCAATTCCGGTCAAGGGCACTTGCAGGAGTGATGATGGCCCTAGTTGGGGTGCATGTGGAAGGCAACCTATTGATATGCCTCTCTCACATTGATGTTTTCCTCTCTCTCCTGTACCCTCTTTCTCTTCTACTTTCTCTCTAAAAATCAATGGAAAAAATATCCTCGGATGAGAATTAACAACAACAAAATGCTCAAGTTAGAGGTCCACAGGCTTGAACAAAAGTTCTATTGTCCGTAAGTGGGCAGGCAGCGATACAGACCTGACTGCTAAAATAAAACTCACGATTTAGTAAAATACTGCAGGAAATTTCCAAGAGGTTGTTGTGTTCTATAATATCTGGTAGGCCACCAAAGCTTTCAGAATAAAGGGTCAATGATGGGATGAAATTAATTTAGATTTTGTTAAAAGCTAGGAAAACTTATAAATAGAAACCATAATTTATAACAATTATAACAGTCACACAAAATAAGTAGAGCACTGCAGACAAACTTACTTTATCTACACAGTCATCAAAGAATGCCAGGCTTGCATCTTTATCACTGACAAAAGAACATTCCTCAATGAAGCGAATAAACATTTGTGTTTTGGTCATCATGTTATAGAATTTTTGATGTGATCGGTCTCGACTTCTTAAGAAAGCTGTTCAACATAAATTTACAATGTCAGAATATCATTTGTAGATTCATAGGATTTTTAAGCTAGAAGGAACTTGATCAACCATGTCATCTGTACCCACCATTTTGCAGAAAAAGAAACTAAGATCCTGAAAGTAGAAGTGATCTGACAAAGATAGCAACAGGAAAGAAACTTGAATCAAGATCTTTCAAATCCTCAACCAAAATTGTCTCTGTTGTCCCCTCACTACCTTGAAGATTACACATAAACCAGTAAATGTGAAAGCATCTTAAAATTGCAATTTACTCCCTTCTTTATGTGTTGCATGATATGTGCATGTGGCTCATGCTCTCTCCATATACATAGTTTTTTAAAAGCAGCAGTTACATCACCTCTAGTATTCATTTATGCTTGTGTCAATACTTACTGTAACAGAGTAAAAGTTTATTTCCTGATTTCACACTCCATCTCATTCACTCAATTACACAACACGGGTTTTCTTTTGGGCCCATGAACTCAAACTATTTCCAATCTCAGGGACTTTGCATTAACTGTTCTCTCTGCCTAAAACACTCTTCTATTTTCCCTTTGCCTAATTTCTAGTCCTCCTTTTAAACATGGCTCATGTGTGAATTCCTCACAAGGGCCTTCTCTGACCTGAAGTTGTGAATTGAAGTGTTCAATCATATTATTTTCAAACTAGAGGCCCGATGCACGAAATTCGTACAAGGGGCTCGGCCCTCACAGCCCTGGTGGCTTGCCTTGGCCCTCGCAGCCCCGGCTTCATCCGAAAGGTCATCTGGAAGTTCATTTGGCTGTCCTAGAAGGTCGTTTAGCATATTATGCCTTTATTATTATAGATTATTTTTTTCACTATAAGCTCTATTGAAGAACTGACCATGTTTCTCTTTTCTTTTCCTTTTATGTGTGTGACCCTGTATCTTTTGCATACCACTATATACCCAAAGCCTATCATTTGGAGGCACTCAATATACACTGAGCGGCCAGATTATTATGACCGGCCAGATTATTATGATCACCCCATCAGTACAATGAAGTGAATTAGTTATGCAAATAATAATAATAAAACCTTGAGAATATTTGCTTAGGAAGTTTTCAATATTCAGTGTTTTTGGAAGTGTCAATGAAGTACTGATGGGGTGGTCATAATAATCTGGCCAGTCATAATAATCTGGCCACTCAGTGTATGTTTATTAAATAAACTTATCTTTTAAATGTTAAATACCACAGAAGAAAGTAATACACATTATACAAATACAAATGCATTCCAGGGTTTCCCAACTTTTTTTTTTACTTTGTGGCATGAACAGAAAATAATATTTGTAAAGCATATTGAAGCTGCTCAAGCCTAGAGGTGATCATCACAGGCTACTCAGCATGCCCAACATTGTCTGGCTCCCCTGAAAGCTAAAAGCATCAACATCAACACAACTGTGACACAAGTGCAATAGTATATGTTTAGAAATTTCTGTACTTTTCAAATAGTTCTTCATGCATAATTTGCCAATGGTATTATATTGAATATTCCTGAAAAATAATTGGTCCTATGGAAATGGATTACCAACAGAGTTGCTCTTCACATATTCTCAAAATAGTTATATATTTTGATAAACAGGAGCTATTAACCCAGAAAGCAAATAAATCACACGAGGTTAAGCTCAATAATATGACAACTGTAAAACTATGCAATCACTCACCTTGTAGGGCAAAAAGAGAGCTTGCATCTGTGGCTGTCTCAGATGGGGCTTGTGTTATTGGTGTTAAGTATGATCTATAACCTTTTAAAATAGAGGCCATGAAACACAAAAATGCCTCTTGGATTTCCAAATCAATCATATGTAACCTCTTTCCAGAATTAAAATCATAGTCATTCATTGCTAAGTCCATTAGTCCATCATCTCTTGGTCTCTGCTGCACTGTGAAGAAATAGTTTCAGTGTTTCTCCAAATAGTCAAAACGAATGTTAATAGTTGTATTATTGTCAATATAAATTTGTTCCATATGTATGCCAAGTCATTATGCTATACACCTTAAACTTACATAGATCTGTATGTCAATTATATCTCAATAAAATTGAAAGAAAAAAACATTTGTTGTGTTTTCAAAAGGGCTCAAGCTAACTCAACCTTTGTTTATATATAACTTCATAATATGTAAATCCTAGAAAAGCTTGCCACATAATTTTTTTAGGCTGTGCTGAGTACATTTTATCCAAATTAAACACAAAATAGCTGGCCGGTGTGACTTAGTGGTTGAATGTCAACCTATGAACCAGGAGGTGACTGTTTGATTTCCGGTCAGGGCACATGCTTAGGTTGTAGGCTTGATCTCTAGTAGGGGGCGTGTAGGAGGCAGCTAATCAATGATTCTCTCTCATCATTGATATTTCTATCTCCCTCTCCCTTCATCTCTGGAATCAATTAAATATAGATATAGATATAGGTATAGATATATATTTAAAAATTGAACACAAAATAATCCCTTTTTATCTGACTACCACCAGAAAAAATGTTCACGTTATAAAATAACTATATGTAGGTTAATAAATGAAGATCATAACAACCATAGCAACGGGACATGGGGTTAAATGCAATAGTCCTTCCTTTCCTCTTTTGTTTCTTTTAAATATAAGTATGTATAGGAGGCACATTCTGGGATTAAAATGTGAAAATCAGCTCTTACTCTTTCTGAACAATTCAATGCTAAAGCCATTAGGTAGTAAAAGAATAACTTTAAAGGAGAGAAGAAGCTTGGTAGACACCACATAATCAAGTGATCAAAGGGAACATATTAATCAATAATGGGACAAATTGATATAGTGCTCAATCTGATAAGGATACTATGCAAGGAACTCAGTGTCACTTCTGCAATATTTCTGTCAAAGTTGCATGATCTGTATTTATCATGAGGACATTCAGACAAACCCATATCATGGACCATTCTACAATAGTAAGTATAATCTTCAAAAGTGTCAAGAAAATGAAGAAAAAATTGATGAACTGCTTAGAGAAAAGGATACAAAAGAGACCTGAGACTAAATACAACATCTGATACGCAAATGGGTTCTTTTGCTATAAAGAACATTGCATATTATGATAACTAGCAAAACTCAAATCAGGTCTGAGGATAAGGATGGCAGTAACTTTGAATGTTAATTTCCTGATTTTCATGGTTATATGGTTGTATTGTAGTGCTATAGAAGAATGTACTTGTTGGTAGGAATACATTCCATTTGGAGGTGATGGGACATCTATTCTCCAAGGGTCAGGAGAAAAAAGTTTGTGATTGCTTAAAACTTTAAAAACTTTTTAAAATATGAGGAATAAATCATCTTAGCAAGTTTTTTCAAGTTCTTATTGTCTAAAAATGTAAAAGTATTAGAAAGAATGTAGGCATTGGAACAGAAGGTTTTAATCATTAGCTTCAACTGAATGATTCCTAAGAACGTACTTTTTACCTTTCAACCTTATTATCCTCACCTCATAGTTGCAAAGATAAAAGAATGTATGTGGAAGTACTCTGAAGCTAGAAAATGTTATACAATCCTGAACTGTCAGTATTGTTTAAAAGTCTGTAGTTTTAAGCTTAAAATTCTGTCCTTCAATAGAGCTAAATGAACTATTTCATTGATTTTAACAATATTTAAATATTGCTAAATATTCACTGCTGGATTTCTCAGTTATTCAAAGGAAGTACATTACTTTTAGAAAGCAATTAACTAGGTAATTTAAATAAAATTCCATACACAATTTACTTGTTCCATAAGATAAAATTTTATTCATTTGATGTTATTTTTTAAATATCCCAATATTTATGAATCACATCCAAAATATCTACTTATTGTGAGGTTTACTTTGTAAACATTGTCTTTCGCCCTAGCTGGTTTGGCTCAGGGGATAGAGCATTGGCCTGCAGACTGAAGGGTCCCAGGTTCAATTCCTGTCAAGGGCACATGCCTAGGTTGTAGGCTTGGTCCCCAGCAGGAGGCATGCAGGAGGCAGCCGATCAATGATTCTCTCATCATTGATGTTTCTATATCTCTCTCCCTCTCCCTTCCACTTTGAAATCAATAAAAATATACTTTAAAAACAAAACAAAACATTGTTTTTCATGTCCTCTTCCAAGTATACTACAGGATATAAACCATTTCCTATGCTTATATTTCACCTACTACATAAATGAGAACCTCAAATATCGCTACACAATTACTGACCATTTTTCATACAGTAAGTATTAAATTAAGGGCCCTGAATAGACTGTTGTTATAAAATACTAAGAGGATTAGATAAATGAAGATTTCATTCTTCTTAGTAATTCTGGATCACTGTCAAGATATTCTTACATAGCTTTTTACTGAAATATTCCATAGTCAAATCAATTTTCATTTTGATTAATTTCCTAATGCTTGCAGCAAGTTTCTATTTTCAAATCATTTGAAGAAAGCACAATAGGTGAAAAACATAAGACCTAGCTCTCACCCTATTGGAAATTAGCATTTTCTAATGTAACTGAAACCACTTAATATATTCAAAACTAACTTTCTATTCCATGTATGAAGAAAATATACAAGTGGAAATGCTTATTTTTTCCATGGTGTTTCAGTCACAGTAAAATTAAAGAAAACAACCAGTTTAACCTCTTTTTGAATTTTATTATTCTAAAATGGTTCTATAAAAATGTGATATCAAAAATAAATCTCCCATTTAGCTTCTAACAAATTTTGCCTATATGCTCATTTGCCTTTAAGAGTGTAAAAATACTTTCCTTTAGATAAAATTTTTATAAGTACAGCAAAGTAACTGGAGTTCTTTTCTCAGATTAAATTACTTCTTTTAATTGTTAGACACTTACATTTTGCCAATTGCTGGTACAAATTATTCAGTGTGTTCATCAGATTTTTACATGGCTTCTTTGGAAGTATCTTCCAGGCTACATTTTTCTTGTCACCAGTTCTGAGATTAAATGGCAAAAATAATACATTTGTTAGATGAACCTTTTTTTGAGGAAAAGGGGAAATACATACTTAATTATGTTAAAAAGGAAAAAGAGAAAACATGTTGAACAAAAAAGAAAACACTAACAAAATATTCTAGTGAACAGGAGAAAAATATTACTGGGGTAAATTGGAATGTTAATATTAAAAAGTAATTTATATGAGGGTGAAACCTTGCATTAAATATAGCTCAAATATTTGTAATTATATTGGTATTGAGTACATTGCATGTGCATTGGAATCATGCCAATCACTACCAAATTTAACGTGGTGGTCATTACTCTTAAACTCCATTTAAGAGTCTTTAGACACCTAAATACTGAGAAAATCCTACTATGTGAATTTTGTTGTTGTTGTTATAGATTAGAAAACTTTCAATGAGCTTATTAAAATACTTTGTCATATTTAAATACTGTTTCTTAATTTCCCAAAAGAAAAATTATTTTTGTTTCCTTTAGAAAAGAAATAATCTATAATATTAACTTAATTAAATAAACTAGAACATTCCAAAATACTTTTAAACTATAAAAGAGGATATGTGTCTGGAAGTGGTATCTTTAGAAAAAACAAAACAAAAAAAACCCCTGAAAGTGGTATCTTTGTTTCTAAGACAAACTTCTATAATCTTCTTTAGTACCACTATGACAATACAGTTGTTGCTCTTTAAACTACATATGGGGTAGGAGTAAAACAACAGCATGGTGATAAAACACCATGAAGGTTTTGGACTTAACTATAACTTTGTTTATTCCATTCTTTATTAAATATTTTTTATTTCAATAGCAATGAATACTCATTTTAGAAAACTTGAAAAATGTACAGAAAAAGGAGAAGAAAAGTACATCACTATGTTTTAACCACCAAAGACAACGATATAGCACAGGTGTGCAGTGAAACTTGCTGAACTTTTTTTTTTTCAATGTTCCCTAAACTTCCCACAGAACAAAAGGACAAATATCACTTTGAAAACTAAACGAAGAAAAAAGAGTGGATGGGAAAGCTTAAGCAGACGAAGAACAACTAACTGACTTGGAATCTATCCTATATTTCTGCAAATGGGAATAAAAATATAGATAGGGCAAGGTCAAATTGCAGGTGTCCTGCTGTGAAGATTTCATTTCATTTATAATGTGACCAAGAGCATAAAATCCTACATTACAGTGAGAACACAACGTAGTAACACTATTTACATTATTTTCTTGATAAAACTTTGCAACACAGTATTCTCACTGTGTCTTATCATTCACTGTATGCATGCCTGCCTTAGACTAGATTATGAGCAACTTAAGAAAAGGGAGTGTACTTGGTTTACCTTTTTATTCCCAATGCCTAGCAAAAAAGGTATTCAAGATGTAGCATAAATGAATGAAAAATATGTTATTTCATTACATCTAATTATTTACATCAAAAAATAATTTTCTTCTCTAACTCTTGATATCTTCACTTTAAAACTTGGCTGAGTAGGACAGGTTAATTTAGTATCTGAAATTGGATCTATGATAGCCTTCTGCATTTGCATTCATAGTAACCTCATTTACAAGGTAACTATTACATAAATAGTTAGCCAATAATTAGTGATAAGATGTATTAGTTTGGAGTCAGACAGTGATGGTTTCAAAAATGCAGCTCTGGCAGTATAAGTTATGTGCCTTTTGATAAATTACTTAAAAATCTAAGCTTCGGTTTTCTTCTGTCACAGGGTTAATAAAAACTACCTCACAAAATAAAGAGAATAATATGAGACAACTAAGGCTATGCATACAGCTTTATGACTAGCACATATAAGATTCTAATTTCCCTTTCTTCAGAAATTTCTTGACATTAATAATATACTCTGTATTATATGTACCTAAGAGTCAGAGAGGGAAAAGGAAACCAAAAATTCCATACTCAGAATTTGTTTTTCTTTCAAATTTCAGGTTGAGGCTTCAGAAATTCTGGATGAAGGAAGGTAAAAAACTGTTAGCTTACTAGTTTAGTCCCCCCTTAGGTTTGTAAGGATGATAATATCAAGAAGGAAGAATACTAATGAATGCAAAAGACTCATGTTTTGTTGATTCTTTAATTCATTAGTGATCAAAGCAGAAAGATAAAATAATAATTAAAAATTCTCTTATCCCTGGCTGGTGTGGCTCAGTTGGTTGGAGCATCTTCCCATGCACCAAAAGGTTGCTGGTTCAATTCCCGATCAGGGTCCATATATGGGTCAGAGCATGTTCAGGAGACAACCAACTCATGTTTCTCTCTCACACTGACATTTCTCTCTCTCTCTCTCTCTCTCTCTCTCTCTCTCTCTCTCTCTCTCTCTCTCTCTCTTTCTCCCTCCCTTCCGCTCTCTCTAAAATCAATCCTCAGGTGAGGATTAAAAAAATTCTTCTAACAAATTGAGGGAAAGTATAAAAAGAGGGAAATGTAATTTATCACCGAAATAAACCTAGTATATACTCATTTACCGTCCTTAATTTCAATTTTTAAAAACACTGTCATGTAAGATTAACAAATGGCAAAGAAAAGAGATACTACTTTAATATTTAAAGAGTTAAAAATTCCAGGTAAAGAATTAAATATTCCTAGTAAATAATCTTTGACTCTATTGATCCCATACCTAAAATGGCTTTTACACACCAAGTACATCCTATATTTCTTGGTTAGGCTTTCTCTGAATAAAAGCTTTTTGACAGCAGACATGTTTTATACTAGAAAATTTTTTTTTGCTAAACTTTTCTGATGATTTAGGTATTTGAAGTTTTGACATAAGACAAAATTAGAATTAATGTAAGATTTCAAGATTAAATTAAAAAGCTTTAATATAACACATGCATATTTTAAAATGAAGAAAAATCTATTTCACATATACATGAGTTACAAAAGGCATACTAGCTTTTGGCTTTACTGATACTAGTTATTTTAAGCATGTCCTGTGGATTCAATGTGGTCACTGCATCAATTTCCTTTTTCCTAAATAGCATAAGTATGATTAAACTAAAAATAAGGGATCTAAGAGAAACACTTAATTATTAAAAAGCTACAAATATACAGCTCCAGTAGTACAACTTAAATATTATTCCAATAAAAGAGAGAAGCTTATAAAATCCTTACACTCCTAGGATATTAGGGTAAAATAAAGTATAATTTAAAAGTGATTTAATGACAGAGGGGTGGGGGCTAGGAGGACTAGATAAAGGAAGGTAAAGGGACCAGCTGAAGAATATATACACATAGCCTATGGACACAGACAATAGTGTGATGAGGACCAAAGGAGGGGGCGGGGCGGGCTGGGTGAAGGTGGACAAAAAGGGGGGAAATAGGGGACATCTGCAATAGCGTCAACAATAAAAATTTTTTTAAGTTATTTAAAAATGTAAAAACATTAAATTAATTTTGATATGAATTATCAGTATTCTAAATAATATTATACTATGCTAGGAATAGGATTGAAATACTAGTCAAGGAATAGTATTTCAATTCAATTTGTTTCACCCATACCCATTTGACTAAAGGGAAATACATTTTTTTCTATTTCTAACTTCAATTTCCCTTCTGCTAAATTTCTAGGTAAGCATAAGATTATAATGTTTCTTAAATATTTAAAAAGCTAAGGATGAAAGGTACATTTTCTTTCCAATAAGACCTTCTCCAATGCCCTAAATCTATCCCACTGAATATAGTAAGAGCTGATTCAAAGATGGTAATAATCCTAAACACAAAAACAATATATCTGAAGGGAAATTCTAATAAGCATTCATAAAATAAACAATTACACACATAGACTATGAAGTAAAATTAGTGGGTGTAGAATCAGTAAAATGTACTTACTGAGAAATGGTGTTGGTATCTAGATCAACACAACTAACATCTGGTGGTGGGTCATAGAGATCAAAGTATCTTGAATCAATTCCTACTATGAATGGACATGGTGCACTCAGGACATCGGCTAAAGCCAGTGGGCAGAGAGGAACATATGGGCATGGCCAGTGGAAAGGGAATATCATCTTGGATAAACAAAAGATTGAAGAATATTTAGCTGTTTGACATTGAAGCATAATTTATCAGCAAGCACAAAAAATTATATTTTAAATATTTAGACTTAAAGTCTAATGCTTGAAAATGAATTAAATAATTATAACTAGTGTCAATGGTCAGAAAATTTAAATTATTTTCACAACATAAAAATTCATTACACTTTGAGTTAAAATAGCTTTAAATCACATATTTTCAAAATAAGAAACTGTGATACTCACAGACACTAATGCTTCTGTCACACTAGTAAGCACTGAAGGCCGTAAGGAATGGATGAGAATCTTATGTTCGGTTACTGCAAACACCAGTAGTGTCACAGCATTTTCAGGGCCTAAATTCTGAAGTAGTGTTGAAAACTTACCACCACTGTCAATCCAAACAAAAATATATAATTAATAAAATAAAGATCCAATAGCCTCATTACACAAAATAATGAAAAAAATTCACGATTAGGGTAGAATTTTGTATTATATATTCAACTTTAAATGTGATTGCTGATCTTATGTAGGGAAAACTGCATCAGAAACACACTATGAAAACAATGACGTTTTATGAAGTTTCAAAATCATTGAATTCTTCTGCATTGTATTCATTATGGAAAATGAAAAATTATGTTTTATTTTATATATGAAGATCTACCATGTAGATAATGTCCAAATAAAGAATTTAATTCATAACAAGTATGCTTTGATTGAAAGCAAATCCTTCAATGAAAGTTTTGGCTCATCTCCCACTATAATAGTAAAAAAAAACAAAAAAAAACTACATGACTTACAGGCCCACCTCCCATATTATTACAAATAATCTTTCATATTGTAATAATAATAGTAATATGAAATCAAGAGCTATCAAGTAATGATATAAATACAAAGCAAATTCATAACCAAAACTTAGACATCTAAGAGGTTGAGCATAGACCTATGAACCAGGACATTATAGTTTGATTCCCAGTCAGGGCACATGCCTGGGTTGCTGGCTAGATCCCATGTGTGGGTTGTGCAGGGGGCAGCCGATCAATGATTCTCTCTCATCATTGCTGCTTCTATCCCTCTCTCCCTCTCCCTTCCTCTCTGAAATCAATAAAAATATATATTTTTTAAAAAACCACTTATACATCTGTATAGTAACAAAATGCTGACAAATAACTCTGTAAGCCAACCAGTGTTTTGTCTATATAATCTATAATAACAAAAGCGTAATATCTATAATAATAAAAGCATAATATGCTAATTCGACTGGACATCCTTCCAGACGAAGCTGGGGCTGCAAGGGAAGCCCGGGCCCCAGGTGCCTGCTGGCAGCCAGAGGGAAGCTGGTGATGGCAGCCGGGGAAGGAAGGCCTACTCTTGCATAAATTTCGTGCATCGGGCCTCTAGTGCTAAATAATTGGCTTCACTGGATTTTTTTAAAATAAAGCAAAATTAGTAACAAAAGTCTCTTGGAGAAATGAAAACATATGTCCACAAAAATCTTGTGAATGTTCACAGCAGCATTATTCATAGTAGCCAAAAAGTCTATCAACTGATGAATGGATAAATAAAATGTAGTATATTCATATACTGAAATATTTGTTGCAACTAAAAAGAAATGAAGTACTGATACACACTACATCATGGATGAACCTTGGAAACATTATGCTAAGTGAAAGAAACTAAACACAAAAGGTCAAATATTATATGATTCCATTTATATGAAATGTTCAGAATAGGCAAGTCTGTAGAGACAGAAACAGATTAACTGTTGCCAAGGGTTGGGGAGGTGCGTGTGTTTGCGTGTGTAGGGATGGGAGAAATAGGGAAGGTAAACTGCTAAAGCATACAGGGCTTCTTTTCAGAGTGATTAAAATGTTCTAAAATTGATTATAGTGACAGTTGCAGAACTCTGTGAATATAACCAGTAGATTGTACAGTTTAATTGAGTGAATTGTATAATATGTGAAATATATACCAAAAAAGCTGTTAGCAAAAAAAAAAAAAAAGTCCTTGGGTAATTTAGAATCATTTTAATATAGTCTTAGTATTTCTAGTTTATTTTTGGCTTAAACAACGGTTAAGGAAACACTGATCACTCTGGACCAAGACCTAGTGATGAAATAATCTGCAATTTTTACAAAATTAATGTCAAAGATGGCACCTAGTCTCCCTTAGATGTGTGCTACAAAATAATTATATTGTAGCTATTTCTCTGCAAGAAAAATTATACAGCTAATTAAATTTCAAGAAATGATATCACAGAAAAAATATATTTCATAATTTCTCTTTTTAAGGTGATGAAATACATTGTTCTACCCCATGGTTTAATATTTATACGTATCTTTTTATTTTGAGATTAAATGGAAAGTTAATTACATTGGATATTCTTCAGAGAATATTTAAAGCTAAAAATAATTGTTTTCATAATCTACATACATATGTACCTATTTATGTAATAGTGCTTAACAAACCGATACACAAAATACCAAACACTACCTCGAAAGTCTTTCTTTTTTTAAGAATGTTAAACTAAATATTAAGTAAATGGAATTTAGATAAAAAACAGTTAAATAAAAATATTTACATCAACATTTGAAATTTTACTTAGGAAAGAGAGAAAATATTTGAATGTTATTTGAGCTACCACTAGATTTAGAGAAGTAAACAGAAATGAAGTCTTACTTGCCTTAGTGGAAGAGGTGAAGAAACAGGCTGACTGAGGATCAGACTATCATGTGGTGATAACTGGAAGAAGATTTAAAATAAAGTATTTGAAATATAAAGATAAACTTTAAACACAACTTTCTGGTAAAAACATATAGATTAATGATGATGAAGTTTCAATATATTCATTCATCAGTATAATCACTTACTAAGATCCTGAAAATATGTCCTGATTACTGACCTCTTCTGACTACTAATTCTTCTATTCTAAAGCCTGTATCTTTTCTTCTGTTCTTCAATGTTTCCCTAATGCCATTTTAACAAATCTGTATTGAAAGACTAAATTATTAATTTAATACCATAAAACCAGAGTTAGGAAATCTATGGCCTCCAGGGCAAATCCAAAGGCTACCTGTTTTTATGAACAGTTCATCGGAACTCATCATTTACATATTACCTCTAGCCGATTTTGTGTAATAACAACAGGGCTGAGATCAAATGGCTTGTAAACACTAAGATATTTACTTTTTGGTCCTCAACAGAAACATTTTGCCAACTTCTGCTATAAAACAAATGTTTTATGCATATTCAAACTGACTGTTACATATATTCTGGCACTAAATACCAAGAAGATAGAATTAATATGTAAATATGCAGACTGATAATAAAACTTATCAAATGATATTTTTCTAGATATTTTATCTGTATCAATATAATAATGCAGTTATTTTTATCCCCATTTTCAAATTTATGCAAATTTTTACAAATTTGTAAATATCTATTTGTCAAATGATTTCTAATTTTGAATGACACCCCAATAATGGCTGCAATAGATTTAGTACAGCACACATAGTGATGTTACATGAAAATGTCTTAATGTAAATCACTTTATAAATGATGATTGAATAAGCAGAAATTTTCATATCAAGACGAAAAATATGAACAAGAAAAGAAAGTCGCAGGCTGGAAGAGGTTAATGGGGGGGGGGAGGATCTATGGAATACTTTCAACAGTAAAGATTAAAAGAAAAAAAAAGAAGAAAGTCAATTGGGAAAAAGAGATGGGGAAATAATTTATGTTCATTTTAAACTTCCCCCATCACAAAGATATGAGCATTCCTTCATGCAATATATGAAAATACACAACTTTCCCTTCGATATACTGTAATATACTTATCTTAGGGACTAATGCCAAAACCATTGAGAAACTTTCAAACACTGAGAACAAATTTAAGAAAATAAGTTCCTTTTTTGTGTTCAAAATGTCTACGGCTTCCTACTTCTTTAACTCTGCAACCCTTTATTAAAGAAAGAAGGGCCCAAACTCCAAAATAAATTAGCATCTTGTTCTCTTTCAATCTCATTTTTCCCCATTTAAAATTTTTATTCCTATGTTACATTTTGACAGAGCCAATAGTTCATTCAACAGGGCACTTATATCAAGAAAATCTTACCTGAACTAAAATCCGTGGTCTCTGAGGAGATGGAAAAGGAACTTTATGCATAAAATGAGAAATATGCCTTAAAAACAAACAAACAAAAAACCAATTAATCCCAAAGTGAGTACCATATGCTACAAAGGTCAACATGTCATCATAAGTCCAAGTTAAGTCAAAAGCTCTGTGAACCTATAATTTCGAAATCCCTGCTACTATGAAGACAAGTGAACAAACAACCAAAAATAATTTGTCCCATTAAAGTTGCTTCTACTTAAATTCAATAACTTCTCATATTAATAGTTGTTCACATTCAACAATGTTTATGTCATGAATATCTCAAAAGCCATTTTACCTTTTACCTCTCCCTAAGTAGATAATATATAACATACCGGAGATGTGGACAGTGCATTTGTAATATACACGTTAGTCAACTATTCATATTTTAAAAGTGAAACACCATTTAGAGTGCTCCAGAAAAATGGAATAGTTTTACTATTTCTAAAAGATAAACAATATACAGACACACCTTATTTTATTGCACTTCGCTTTACAACTTTATAGATGTGTCTTTTACAAACTAAATGCAAAACTCTCCACCAGTAAAAAGATTACAACTCACTTTATTGCAACACTTTTTATTACAGTGGTCTGGGTTGGAAATTGCAATATCTCCAAGGAATGCCTGTTCTTTCTATTAATAACAGGTTAAAAATTCTATTATTGAGTTTATGGGGTTTTTTTTCTAGAAATGGATAAAAAGTGAGATTGATGTGTTTTGTTTTGAGCACTATGAAAAAGAAAAAAGGCAACATTAGTGAAAAATCCTTTTTTTTAGAAAAAAGTTATTTTATTTCTGTATTACTTTTCTCTTAAGTATTATTTCAAAATCATCTTTGTTACAGAACTGGGATAATTTCAACAGGATAGAGACATTAAAAGAGAAATGTATTAATTTTACAAACATGTTTTGACTGCTTGCTATGTGTAAGACACTGCCAGACATTTTGGGAATTATAAAAAAAGTATATTATGCCATGAAGGTACTTATAACCTAAGAAAAAAGATGAGGGGAACGAGTTCCAAGACACACTTTTGCTTGAATTATCTGAAGTTGTTAGAACAGCAGAAACAAAGTGTACTCCATGAACATCTAAAGATCTCCAAAACCCATCCATGGAGGATCTGCACGGTCAAAACTAATTTTTTTTTTTAATCCTCACGGGAGGATATGTAGATTGAATTTGAGAGACACATACATTGATGTGAGAGAGAAAAATCAACTGCCTCCTGTATGGGCACCCTGACTGGAGATCGAACCCGCCACCTTTTGGTGTACGGGACCACGCTCCAACTGAACCATACCGGCCAGGGCTCCAGTGTATTTTTAAAAAAATAATCTGTGGCCTTAGCTGGTTTGGCTCAGTGGATAGAGCATTGGCCTGCGACTGAAGGGTCCTGGGTTCGATTCCAGTCAAGGGCACATGCCGGGGTTGCAGGCTTGATCCCCAGTAGGGGAGTGCAGGAGGCAGCCAATCAATGATTCTCTCTCATCACAGATTTTTCTATCTCTCTCTCTCCCTCTCTCTTCCTCTTTAAAATCAATAAGTATATTAAAAATAATAAAAAATAACCTGTGATGGAAGGGGAAGTATGTATAAAGCACTTCTGCTGTGCGTAGCAGTACAATGGTTGTCTTGAAGAAAAGCACTTGTGCAACTGAGTCCACAGAAATATTTAGTTCATGCCAAAAGGTCCTTAATATTTGGTTCTATGAAAAACATCCATGAGCATATTTGGTACATGACAAAGTATTCTTTATATTTGGTCCTGTCAAAAATGTCCATGCTTAGAAAACGTCTTTGGGTTCAGATAGCCCATAACAGTTATTTATAATTTTGGTTTTACAGGATTGATACATAAGAAATACTATCAAATTTTACTGATCTAATAACTGCTGTAGCTGTATTGCCAGTAATAATCCCTGACTCAGTAACCAGCTAGTAATGGCGCATGGGGTAGGTAAATGGGTCAATGTGGACTAAATGTCTCCATGGATGTTTTACACAGAACCAAATGTCTGCTAACCCCTATAATAAACTCTACTTGTCATGTCTGGGTGCAGTAACAAAAAGGGAAACCCACCATTTTCTGAACAGACTATTCAAATGTCTACTTACTTATCTGCGTAAGGCCAGGTTCATATACTTGGACCCAGGCAACATATTGCAACAGATTAAATACAGAAGCACACATGAGAATCTACCTGTGTTTAATTAATCCAGACATTAGATTTATAAAAATGTAAAACAATGTCACTCTTCTAACATTTTTTGCTTTGGAAAACAGTTATTTTTTTTTTTAAATATTATGTTAACATGTAGTGGGTTTATTGTTTTTAAAAATAATGTATTTTTAAGTTTTCAGTTTTAATTTCTACTATAGTAAATATCAACAGATATAAAGAAAAGCTCCTTGGGGGAACTCAGTTGTTAAGAGTATAAAGGGGTCCTGAAACCAAAAACACTGAGAGCTGCACTGGAATACTGAGACTGGAAAAGTACAAGAAAAAATTAAAGAATAATCCTGTACACCAATGTACTTAGGATAATTCTATCACTTTCCAACTGTCATTAGAGTCAGAGAATTCTGCCTAAGAACACAAAAGAGCTTAAGTGATTGATGGTATAAAACAAACAGTCCTCTCTGCTGGCTTGGCTCAGTGGCTGAATCAGGAAGTCACGGTTAGATTCCCAGTGGGGAGCATGGAGGAGGCAGCCAATCAATGATTCTTTCTCATCACTGATGTTTCTATCTCTCTCTCCCTCTCACTCCTCTCTGAAAACAATAAAAATATATTTTTAAAATAAAATAAACAATAGTCAGACAATGTAGATATTTAGATCTCATTTGCATCAGATCTTACTACTTGAAAAATCATTCATATATTTTAATGACCTTAAAGTAAATTACTAAAATTTTAAAAAGAATGCACTTGTCTAATTTTTCCTTTAAATTCATTACATCTAAAAATAGTGAGGAATATTTTTAAAGGTCCATAATAAACACAAATTATATGCAAAATAAGAATTATAAAACTATTTTTTAAAAATTCCAATTAGGATCTCCAAACTTCACAAGAACATCAAAAAAATGAAACAATGCCCAGCCAGTGTGGCTCAGTGGTTGAATGTCAACCTATGAATCAGGAGGTCATGGTTTGATTCCCAATCAGGGCACATGCCTGTGATGCAGGGTTGATTCCCAGTAGAGGGGTGCAGGAGGCAGCTGATCAATGATTCTCTCATCACTGATGTTTCTATCTCTCTCTCTCCCATCCTCTCTGAAATCAATAAAAAATATATATTTTTTAAAAATGAAATACTTATTTTGTTAGAGATAAAGTTATTAAAAATAGCATGACTGTAAAAGTATAATAGAGAAATATTCCTGATTGAAACCACCAAACTCTTTTTTCCAAATAACTCCTGACAAATCTAGTTTCCATATAAAATTTACCAGTAAAATTCAATTACAAGTACAAATATACCACACATAATAGAAAGATCTGCCACATTCTGAACCAAGAAGGTTTCTAACTTACTTCTCAATTGGAAGGACATGAGGTCCAGAGATGGAATAACGATACAAAAAAGTCAGAAACTTTCTGAATGCATCAAAAAAAGGCCAGTGAGAAAGAAGGCAGATGCATTTATTAGTGTGAACTGTTTTGGAACTGTCAGACTTCCCATCTGCCAATGATGCTAAACCCAATAGAAGTCTCTGTTTTTCTGTGAGATTCTCCTCAGGATATGGTTCATAAAACTGAATAGCAGCACCATAGACCTGGAAAACAAGTAATATATTTACTGAATACATTTTATGTCATTTATTCAAATCATATCATTAGTTAAATATTTAATGGGTGAGCCAGGCCACTTATGAGCCATTATATGTCTCTGAGTTAGGCCAGGTGCTAGGTACCAGGAACATTGTAGTGAACAAACATCACTCTTTGCTTTCTTGAAGTACATTAAAAAATATAATAAAAATTTAAAACTACACAAGTGCTACTCTCATATCTCTATATTTTTTCAAAAAGGTGTTTCAATTAAATTGTATTTGTTTCATAGAAAGTGAAATAAATTGTATCAATATTCTCTATAAGAAAATTATTAAGAACTATTATTTAGTAGATAGTGGGACAATTTTAGATAGGGAAATACAAATTCCAACTTCAGGCAATTCACTAAATTTCTCTGGATCTCAATTTCTCAATCTACAAAAAGAGAGTGTCAGACTACATTTCCAAGGCCCCTTCCAGCTATAACAGCCTATGATTCTAAATAGCATTGATTATTAATAATGTATTTTGTATTATTTTCAAAGCTTCTATATTACAAAAAATAAAGCAATGAAGGATCATCATATGACAATTAAAAATCTTTCACCATATTCACAAGAAAGCATTTGAGTATATGGTACAGCATAAAAATTCTCTTTTCCTTTGTCCCTGGATATAGTTACTTCAACCAAATGAAAGAGGTGTGTATTATAGGTTCAATTTAATCAGTTATGTTTTCCTACTGTTCCTTGCATTACATAAAACTTAAATTTAAAGTGTAAAAGAATTTCCTGATATAATTTGTTAAAACACACAGTACCTTTTCAGCTGAGGCTCCAGTTAACACAAATGTAGAAAATACAGGGAGAGGGTATTTGCTATTTGATGGCCAACATTCAATAGTTGCACCCATTGGTAAACAAAATAGGGGAACAGATTCTGGGAGTGAGAATGACTCATAATCTTCTTGAGGATATCTACAAATTAGACCTATAAAAACAATAAATATTAGGTCATCATCTCTTAAATTAGGTGCTTGTAATTTAAATGATGCTGAAATGCTTTATTTAACACATTTCAAAGTTCAAACCATTACATATACTAGGTGAGGCAAAAGTAGGTTTATGTTTGTGAGTATGCAAAATACAAAGTTTATTCTTGTATTATTATTTATTAATTAATGCATTATTTTCCATATGAACAACTGTGAACCTCCTTTGACTCCATCCTGTATGTTCATCAAATAATTGAATGCTTCAGTAGGATTTATATAGATTTTTAATCCTCAAATATAATGATTCATATTAACTGCTTAATATTTCTCAAGCTTCATCCACAAAGTTTAAGTAAGGCAAACAAGAAAAGATTATTCTAAAGAAATATATATACACACATATTCAAAAATTCAGTTTGTGGTCAAACTACCACCTTAAAGCACATGAATATACTATTTTTTAATTTTTTCAATATGGTTACCTGCATATATCCATTTCATCAGTTCTCAATAACTTTCCCTCAGGGTGTTTTACACATTAAAATAGATGTCCTATAGGAGTACATACATAACTTCTAGCACAAATACAAAAAAAAAATACTAATAAAAATAGAAGAGTCACATATTAACGATGTCTTCAGAATAGTATCAACTCAAATCCGGCTTCTGAATAACCCCAAGTTATATGAAGATAGAGTTTTAAGTGACCTATGATTTCATATTAAATAGACTAGTCTAGAAAGTGGTCTAGAAATCTTCTACTGAACACAACATCCAGCAGAGTCTTGTACTGGATTTTGTGGGACTAGAAATAGAAAATAGGTTCCCTGAACTTGAATAGTAAAAGTCAAGTGGAAACCATCACTAGATAGAACCTTAAAGGCAAAATCATAAAATTAGGAATACCAGTGGTTGGTTTGCCACTAATATCTATGTGATTCCAAACAAATCATATACCTGTAAGACTCTGCTTTTCTCATTTATAAAGTGAGATGAACTAGATATACTAAGGGTCAAGGCAGTTCTCAAATTCTCTAACTATATCCTGGCCAACCAGTAGATCCTATGAGGGTCTACGGTTAATTGTCTACTACTTTCTTAGGTCATAAGGCTACAGTATAGGCTTTAAGTAGTTCAGAAATAGTGATAAATTGTACATAGATCTTAAAAAAATCAAAGCTAGAACAGAAAGTAATAGTCTATGATGTGATTTTAAAACTATCTATATATATAAAAAGATTAATATGCAAAGTGTCTCCTTGGGAGTTCGACCGGGAGACCAGGAGTTTGATCACTCTCTATGATGTGTGCTGACCAACAGGGGGCAACGCAGAACAATCAGCCCTGATCACCGTCCAGGCCTAGGGACCCTACCCGTGCAAAAATTTTGTGCACCGGGCCTCTAGTATTGTTTAAAAGACTGAATCTGCTCTACAAATAAGATGAGACTGTTTGCTATTTTGAGGTTTTTGGCAATTGAAAATTTCAGTTATGTATTATAGAATCACAAATTAGCTTATAATATTTCAGATTATTATAAACACATATGAACTATAGACCTGACTAAATTTGATATATTAAAACATTAATTTAATTAGAAAATACTTTTCCCCATTTTCTACTGATTTAAAAACTTAAGAGAATTTCTACTTATTAGTTATTTATTTAAACCTAATATTTAAAAATTCATGCCTTCTTTTAACATTAATCTCCCATTAACTGTATGGATGAAAACAAAACAGAATCAAAAGACATAGGTTATAGTCTCAGTCCTGATACTAACACATTGTAAGATGGGTTTTGTTTATTTTTATATTACTGGCCCCGATAATACATTTATATATTAAGTAATCCATGAAAAATTCTACTTACCAGCTTTGTAAGATATAGTGTTAGTTTTTGCCACTGATTTTTTATAACATAAGTATACTGCGGATCCCCACTGAATTAAAAAAGAAAATATAATTAATTTTAAAAGGTAATAACTTAATAAAATGGAATATCTTTGATCTTTCTAGTATGTAGTATCTAAGATGTAAAAGATTGCTCTCTGTTAGCTATTTTCAGTTGGCTGTTTTGTGAGCATCTTATTGGAGTTACTGCCCACTTTTCTCTCAGAAGTAAAATTTAACGTATTTTTTCCTAGCAAAAGCATAACATGAAAATCTGACCCTTTAAAACAAAAATAAGCCACAAAAATTTAGATTTTATGCTAAGTCCAAAATTTGGGCAGAAGTGATAAACTAGGAATTATCTACTAGTATGTATACCTTCCTTTTGATTCCATAACCCCTTTTAGACACTGCCAGACTTTTCTGCAGCTCTTTTATACCAAAACTTGAGTAGTAATCGGCCATATCCATTTCCTTATATCCCATTCTCTCCTGAATCCATTCCAAAACAGGTTTTAATTTCACCATTCCTTAAAA